AGCTCCGCGAATGGGTCGCTACCTATCCTACCACCAACGAGTCGACTCACTTCATGTGTATCATGGACCCTCTCACTGGTGAGATCCGCTGGATCTCTCGCGGCCCCAGGTACTCCGACAGCTTCTGAGTCTGGCGACGCTGTTTGGGTGTTGGCTCTCATTGAGGTAAACGAAGAAACAGCTAGTGCTTGAATTCTCATTTGACTGTGGTAGGAGTATATCAAATAACGGAGTTCTTGTGTGTCTCAACTAAGGCACAACATAAGGCTCTGGTTTTTTTTATTTGTCACACGGGTACAAAAAGCCGGCCATACAAGGAAGTAGTATGGGTGTGCACAGGACTTGGAGTACATGGGGATAACGATATGTCACGATTACACGAATCAGGGTTAAATGGAATGTCCCAGGAGAAGTCACTCTAAAGGAATCTCAGGATTGTGACGTTGTGGTCGCGACTGTTATTTGTGCCTTGGGAGAAACTCATTCTAACCCCTCCATCATGAATGGTGTAAGTGAAACGAGACCTGAAAATTCCAGAGTTTAGCACTCACCTACGAGGGGGAATACCAGCATCTGCAAGTTTCAATGACCAGACAATTCTAGAAAGCTTTTGATGCCCTAATTTGAACATTCGATGCTTACAGATAGTCTAACTTAGTTCATCAATTGTTTCGTCAAGACTGAGACGCTCAAGGTCTGCCAGCTGAGGTGTCGCTTGTGGTGTCCAGCTTGCGCGTTACAGGCGACGTTGGGTGGGGAACAACTGCAGCGCACCTTCTTCAGCGCCTTCCCAGTGAGCCAGCCCAACATTGACCTTCCCGTCAGGACCAGGCAACAGGAAGGCACTACTGTCCAACAGCAAAATTCCCAACTTCAGCATTGAGCTCTTGACATTTCCACACCCAACAGCCACAAACCACCTCACCTCAAATTTATCCCATCATGGATCCTATCGCAGCTAATACCGAGGTCGCCGACATGTCAGTGTCAGCGCTAGCTCTGGAACAGGGTCCAATGACCGACGAAGTCCTCAGGGGCATCTTCGCATCCGACCAAGACATGTACCCCGCGCCGCTGACCTGGGACCGCTTCCGGAGCTGGACGACGGCGGCGCCCGAGATGGCCACTTGTTTCTACCTCCCTGCCGGTGCTGGCGAGAGCAGCGATGCCCAGACACTTGTTGGCGCCGTCGTTGCACTCCCGATCCTGGCGCCTGCGTGGCAGGATTTGCTGACGGGAGAGGCCAAGGAGGTGGACGTGGACGCCGGGACTATGTTTCCTCGTGATGACGATGAGCGCTCAGAAGTCGGGCTGCATGTCTTTCACGTCGAGAGGTTCGGTGTGCCTGCGGCGCGGGGCAAAGTGCGAGGATTCGCCGATGTTTCGATGCGGGCTGTCATAGCTGCTGCAGAGAAGAAGGGATGGTCGATCATCGGCTATTCAGGTAAGTGACTCGTGGTGGCTGGGCATGCTGGCATTGCACTTTCGTTTGGCATCCATTCATTAGGGAGGCGGATATCGGTGTGATCTGACACTTTGACAGCACTCACAGCGACACCAGAAGGACGACGATGTTTTGAGAAGATGGGCCTTGAGGCGACGGGCTACGAGGAGTTTTGGGTTGACAATGGCAGCGAGGGCGTCGAATTAGTTACGATTACAGCGGATACCACAACAGAGGAACGCGAATTGCGAGAAGCGGCGATAGTCCGAGGCCACGCGAGGATGCTAGCAAAACACTTGCATCCCGTCACTAATATTTAGCTGCCTATGGACCACGGGAGGACCCCTGGCCAGCTTTACCGCCGACACTTTGATCTTTGAGGGGTATCACAGATTTCAAGACTTCGAGAACCATCAGTGGATGATCGACGACGTAGAGGGAAGGATCTCCCGTTCGAGTACGAGGCAAGGAGCGGAATTCAGGCGGAAATTTTGGCTTTGAAATCAGAAATCCCATCATAAAGAGATAGCTGGGTCGAAGCTGCTTGACACTGGGGCAATCATTCAACCGAACATGGCAACAAGCCAACAGTTGCCCCGGACCCCGTTCTCCTCACCAAAATCCCGTTGCTATCCATCAACAAAGTGCGAAACGAACCTCGGCTCCTGTCACCCAACAGACGTGGTCCAGACTCCGTTGCGGATACCTACGATTGTACTCCGTACGAAATGCCCAGTTGGCAGTACCGTACCAAGCCTCGGCCGCCCGTCCGCCCCGCGGACCTGGCAACCGGCACGGCTCAGGCGACTGCCGAAGTTTTCTGCGCTGTTCTTATTTTTTTCGGGGCCCTCCTCCACCGAAAGGGGCAGCCAGCTCCGGGCGGTCGAGCGCCAGGACAATAACGGCATTGAGCTTGTGCTTTGTCATCTTTGCTTCATTGGTACGGGGTAGAGATTTTCTGAGGCACGTTTTGGAGAGAATGGAGAGGCGACTTCAAGCAAGATTTACTCAAGACTAGTCAGTGATGGGCCTCACCCTGACTCGAGTTCCCTGGAACCCAGACCACCCCATTGGATCGCAGTGAATAGTCAGTTCCTGGAACGGTATCCTAGAGAAAGGAACAGCATGGAAGGCCTACCAAACAACAGTGGCGGGAGCTGTGCAAGTCAACACCTACGATTGACGAAGCGATCTTGACCGCAGATCAAAGAATGCAGGAGCCCCTGGTCTCGAAGGACCTTGATGGTGATATCAATGAGCTTGATTGGACCTCTCAGACACACCGCCTACCCAAGCGGTTTCTAGTATGTGTTTCCGTTTCTCAAAGCGGGATATGCCCCGCCATGAACCGCGGCATCTTTCACCAAAAAAGATGGAGGGGCAAATGGAAAGGAAGAAAAATATCTAGCGCCCATTTTTAAGTGCTGCTGCTGACAGATCAAAAGAAAGGGTCCGTGGGGGCAACGGCGGCCAAGTCCCGTTGAACAATTCCGCTATCCTCTTTGTGGGAACCACCTCACAAAACACGACTTGGTGGGCATGGCCAATGCCGGCGAACCCCCGGTTGTTGAAGAGTATCCACCGGTCGAACAAGGAGAGCGGATGCCCCGCCTGGCAGTTCTTCCATCATGACGTTGCCGTTTCCAATGCCTTCCGTCGCCCCGTGTTTGCGAGAAGCGTAGAGGAGAGCTGACAAGGAACCATTTCCAGCGGACCACAAGGTCGGACCCGGCGCGGGCCCGATGGACCCTTTGACGGGATTCGTCATGATATGGAGCAGGTCTCGACGATATATTTAACTCGAAGAGCATCTCGTACTCTTCAGCTGGATTTCGGAAGAGTCACTCACATCTCTTGCATATATCCCCTCTACCCTACAACCCTTTTTCTAGATACCCGTCATTTAGACACTTTCACATACACATTTCCACAATGGCGCCTACTCCTAACAAGTCCTTCATCTTCAAGCAGGTCCCCAAGGGCCTGCCCGTCGCCGGCCAGGACCTCGTCACCGAGGACCGCCCTATCGATCTCGAGCAGGACCTCAACGGCGGCATCCTCATCAAGGTCCTCTACTCCTCCTTCGACCCCTACATGCGCGGCCGCATGCGCCCCGCCGAGGCCGGCAAGTCCTACATCCCTCCCTTTGAGCAGGGCGCCGTCATCGTCTCCTCCATCGTCGCCCGTGTCGAGCGCTCCGACGCCGCCCAGTTCGCCGCCGGCGACCTCGTCACCTCCTTCATGGGTCCCAACGCCGAATACGCCGCCATCCCCGCCAAGTTCCTCCCCGGCTTCTTCAAGGTCCCTAACACCCACAATGTCGACCTCCCCCTCTTCGTCGGTGCCCTCGGCATGCCCGGTATGACCGCCTACGAGGGCTTCTACGAGATCGAAAAGCCCAAGAAGGGCGAGACCATTTTCGTCTCCTCCGCCGCCGGCGCCGTCGGCCAGATCGTCGGCCAGCTCGCCAAGGCCGAGGGCGTTAAGGTCATTGGCTCCGTCGGTAGCGACGAGAAGCTCGACTTCATCATCAACGAGCTCGGCTTCGACGCCGGCTTCAACTACAAGACTGAGTCCCCCCACGACGCCCTCAAGCGCCTCGCACCCCAGGGTATCGACATGTACTTTGAGAACGTCGGCGGCGACCACCTCGAGGCTGCCCTTGAGTCTTTCAACCAGCAGGGCCGTATTATCGGCTGCGGTATGATCTCCGACTACAACACCCCGCGCGAGCAGCAGAAGGGCGTCCGCGGCCTCTTCCACCTCGTCGCCAAGAAGCTCTCCTTCCAGGGCTTCCTCGTCAACTTGTCACCGGAGAAGTACAAGCCCTTCCAGGAGAAGGTGCAGCCTTTGATTGCCAAGGGCGAGCTCAAGGTCAAGATCCACCAGACCGATAGCATTGACCAGGCTGCTGAGGGTTTCATTGGCATGCTTACCGGCCAGAACTTTGGCAAGGCTGTCTTGAAGATTGCTCAGGAGTAAGAGGTTGATTGGATGGATGAACCAGGGTATTGCATTGCATAAAAGGATGGGAAAAGCATGTTAGCTGTATACTATAATGACAATTGATGACCAATGAACCAAAACTGAAACTCGCGACGTGACTGAAAACCAAATGCTCTCGAGTGAGCTTGTTGCCATGTCTTTTGCGATGCCTAGAAATAATCGACACAAGGTACCTTTGTCGAATAACACTGAAAGAGGCAAGATGAGTAACAAGTTATATGCAAGCTATCGTAACTACATGCATCGTTCACGCGATGCGAAACGCTGGGCAGTAATCATTATGTTGGAGTCATTCCCCCCCGGAATCACATACCTCACGTTGGGAAGTCGTATTGATAGATTATCGACTAATACGTTGTATATAATTCTAAAGATGGTATCATACAAAATGCTATCTAAACCCATACCAGTGCCTGTGTTGTCTAAAACAGAGGAAACCAGAACTATCCTGCCAAACGCCCAACAAACCACATCGCTGGGTCCCAAATCCGTTGACCTAGATTGAGAGCCTCAATCTACCGAAGTCTCCTTCTTCTTAACCTCTACCAAAAAGCTTCTTGGCAGTCACACGTCTCGTAGACGAGGGCGTATGCTCATTGGCATCATAGTACCCCCCATAGCCATTAGCATGCTGCTGCTCCGAAATCGAAGACTGCGAGCGGTGGCTGTAGGCATCCGATGCCGCATCCTCGGGCCTCAACTTCTGGGGACGAGGAGGAGGCGGGGGAGGTGCCTGGTTCGGTGCGGCAGCCTGTTGGGAGGGAGGAGCTCTGTAGTACTCTTCCTCCTCCCACTGGGACGTGCTGGTGTTTGTCCTGGCGGGCTCAGCGCGCTCCGGTCGTGAGGTCGGGACGGGGGGGGCCTGTGCGGGTGCCTGATGGCCTCCATAGGAATAGCCGTTGGTCGCCGACTCGGTAGGTTGTGTTCTCGCTGAAGGACGCTCCTCGCGCTCGTCGCGGGAGCGGGTTGAGCGGTGAGTAGTTTCGCGACTTGGGCTGGTGCTTGCAGGGGCGGTGTTATTGACGGGCTTGCGCGTCGTTGTCTGCTTCGGCTTATCTTCGTCCGAATCGGAACTGTTGTCCTCTAGATCTCGGTCTTCATCGGCGTACTGTGACGTAACGTTAGCATATTCAATTGTGGTGAGGGCAAATAGCTGTCACTTACCATTCTCAGCTCCTTGCGCATAGCCAAGCTGGCGCAAATGTCGCGGGCCTCCTCAATCGCAGTCTTTTGCGTCTTGAGCGTCATTCTGCGATCGCGCGTCTCCTTGTTCTCAGCAGCAATAGCCTCGACCGTCTCACTGGGCATGCCCAGAATCTCAACCGAGTTGAAAATGCTGTACATGCCCTGCAGCAAGTGTCTCTCGACGACTTGCGTAATTGTGTTGCGGATGAAAGTCTTGGCTGCAAGCTCGTAGAAGATCAACATCTTCTCGCAAACCTCCTGCGCCTCGGTGTACGTGGCACCGTCCTTGGTGGTCTCAATTTGCCACTTGCGAAGACGCTCCTCGTACTCGGGATCATACGGCTGGATTTCGAGGTTCATGTCTTGCGTCAGGTGCTCAAGCTCCACCTGTGCATCGGCCAACAACTTCTTCATCTGAACATCAAGGAACTGGTAGCGCAGAGGCTCGCGCATGCGCTGGGGCCACGCGAAGTCGATGACCTCACTGAGGAATTCATTGCACACGACGCCGAGGTTGTCCTTGTGCTCTTGGGCGAGCTTCGGCCAGTTCTCAGAGTAACTCTGGAAGAGCATGTAAACCGCGCGAGGCTTGGGGTCCATGGGAAATTCGGAACCGCGAATCTGTCGCAGAAGCATCTCGACCTCTCTGCCAACGAACTCCCTCTTGCTGCTCTCGCTGATGGTGACCCCGTCTGCCGTGCCGGGGGCAGTGGACGACGAGAAGCCGAACTTGCGGCCGTTCTGGCGAATACGGTGCGAGAACTTTTCATTCTCCTCAATGGCGCGGGCACGCAAGTTCTGAGCGGGTGTGCCGCGAGGGTCGGCCGTAGCACGGAAGAAGTTCTTGCGCGGAGGGTTCTTGTAGAAACCGTAGACGGCAGGGATAACCAGTTCCTTGGAACTGGAGAAGAGCTCAACGAGCTCAATGCGCATCTCTTCGACGGTGTCCTTACCAGTGCCCATGGACTTAAGCTCTGAATCGCAGTCGTCGAGCGCCTTCTGGATCTGCTTGCGAAGTGTCTTGACGTGACGGCCAATGTGACGCTGCAGCTGAACGCTGAGCTTTTGCTTGAGCGCATTGGCACCGCACATGGAGCTGGGGAGCGCACGCCATTTGCCGCGACCAAAGAATTCCTCCTCGCGCTGACGGCGTTCGCGGGCTGAAGGCCAGGGCTGGCCTTGATCGCGGGGTCCCGGGTTCAGCAGAACGTACCAGCCGAGCTTGAAGTAGTTTTGCTTGTCTCGGTTCTGGACGAGCTCGATGAATTTATCTTCCAGACCGATCGACTCGCAAAGGTCGGGTTTTGTCAGGACACCGATGGTACGGCTGCCAGAGGGGTCGAAGTGGCGAGCCTTTGTGAGAATGGGCGCCTGGACATAGTCGGTGTTGCCACCAACGACAGCGAGGATGATGGTGCGGGAACTCTTCATGTATCGGTCGCAAAGGGTCTCGATCGTCTTGATATCGTCCATCGACTGGTCATTATTGGCGTTCTTGACGAGACCGGGAAGATCGACGAGAGTGAGCAAAGGCATGTCAGGACCTCTCTTCTCAACCACCAAAATATCGCGGGCGGCGAACCTGCCCGGAATGTTCTTGGGCGCGATCATTTCCACCGCAGATCTCATAAGAGACTCAAATGACATATCCGTGTCGACGGCGCCGCCAAACTGCTTCAGCCGTTCCTGATCCCTGAAGGGCTTGTTCTTGTCGGGTATGATAGAGACGTTGAGACTCGGTTCGGCCGATCTGCGCAGGCGGATTTCGGTTGCAAAACGCGTGCAGGCGCCGGCATCGCGGGGAAATGGCGTGCCAGTGATGGCTTCGAGGACGGAACTCTTTCCCGCCGACTGATCTCCGACAACGACGATCTGGGGCAGCTTGACATTGTCGAGCTGAGCAAACTGCAGCTTGTCGATGAGCTCGAGAAGACCGCGCTGCTCATTCGCCATGTCCGCCGTCCCCAGCGCCGAGTCTATATTGGGAGCCATGTCGCGTTCGGGACTGAGAGAAACGTTAGTTGGGCGGAGACGACTGGTTTCTGGAACCTCGTACAATGATCCCATCACAGTCTGGTCTCGATATGTGTGTGTGATGTGGGTAATTGCGCGAGGAAAAGTCTTGGACGTCAGAGAGCAGAGCGTGGGCACGGCTCTGAGAAGGGAGAACCTTTTAAAGAGGAGACTACTGTTCGCCCAGCCCAAAGACCAAAGAACAAGCTTATGTGGGATTACGCAGTTACGCAGTGCAAGCCTGCATTGCGGCGCGAGACGTGTGTCGACCGTACATCACATGCCCCCAGGGTGCGAGTGTGCCCAATAGCCATGAAAGGGTGCCTGGATCTGGGCTCCAAGTCGTCGCAAAGCCGCGTCGTCAGCCCCCAGTGACGACCTCGGGGCGTGGGGAAAGGGCAAAGCTTCGCCTACTACTGCGTCGCCACCGGGCAATACGGCGGTGCGGCGACAATAGAGTTGGCATTCCATGGATGCTGCTTGGCTTGAGGCAGCCTAGCAAAAAGAGGCATCCGTTTGGACCCTTTTTCGCCAGCCTACGGTAATACGGATACTGCAATTTCGTCTGTCACTCGGCGTCGGGTAGTAGAGCCGAGACCACTCAAAGAGACTTGCAGACTGGATATTGCGGGCTAGGTGACATACTCAGTCTCCATTATGCAGGGCGAAAAGACTTTGAACAACAGCGAGAAAAGTGAAAGCAACCCCATGTGCGCAAAGGCACCAAACTTTGGGACGGGGACCAACGCGTTTGTGTTGAGGTTGGACGAATGACGTCGGTAGCTCGGCAGTGGCACAGCCTCATTTTCCCTGTCTGGCACGCCTGGGAAGCCCGCCGTGGAGATGGAGGGCCTTGGAGGCACACTTTTCCTGTCAAGCTTGTTGACTCGGCCTCCGCAAACTCGCACTTCGTCTCGTCCTTCGCCTTGTCTCGCACTACGCATGACGAGCGTACGCGTCGGGAGGCACTTGAAGCCCCAATCAGAGCTCGGGTGTATCCGTCTAGGCCGGTGTGAGGAGGAACTTGAGCCAGCCAACGTGGTGCTAGAGACGACGACGTTCAACGCCAAGATGCTGGTGGTGGTTGTTTTTTCGCCACTCATTGAGCTGCAAGGATCAGCTGGTGAAGCAATTGGAGTCCCAGTGGCTGTGCAGAGATTGTGTGGCATAGCTGTGAGTGATTAGGTAAGGTCGATGCCCCTCATTGTGGCTGAGCTTTGTTGCTCTCGGAAGTGTGGCGAGTGCCCCGAAAATGCTCAATTGTGGCTGAAGCTCCTCGCCAGCCCTCCGAGGTTTGTCGAGACCGTCGGGCATCCCAGCCCGCGTACCTGCCCACCTGCCTTTGTACGACGTAGCTACCACTTGGCTGGTCAAGACATTTGATCAGAACCTCTTATCAAATGGCCACGCGACTGCCGTTTCAAAAGCCATTTAGATGAGAAGCAGGAAGCGTGAGCTTGTTTTCAGACAGACGAAACCGTACCACGTAAACGCACCTTCCGCGCCATTCAAGGCCAGCTTTCCTAACAGATTTCTACGTATATAGAGCTCACGAAAGTACAGGGAGCCAATAAAGCGTCCCCCAAGGAAGTAAAGAAGAAGGAGAAGTTGGTACTCAATTAGACAGCATGTCTTACACGGTGCATCCAATGGGACTTTCCATAACAATAGCTAGCATATTCCACGTGTTCTACCTCAGGGGCTTGTTCCTAGTATATAACAGAAGGTATACGTACGGCAGTATGGGAAGCGGTGAGAGGGAGTCCTTCAGCGTCTCATATCGCATCGCGTCACTTACCACATACTCACTCACCTTCAAGGATTTGAAAATCCACCGAAACGTGACACCGGCGGATCTGTGGAAAAGAGGAGTGATAGAGTACGTGAGGATTCCAATCATTGAGGCGAGGATCATCTCGTTTTGAGAACCTACTCCATCTTGCTCTTTATATCGATCAACCATGAACTCTGGCCTCGTTGGCGCCCTCAAATCACAAAACCCCGAGTACGGGGGCGTTCAGATCTTCTCAGAGGTATTGGTAAGTAGAAGATTTTTGGGGGGAGCGAGACCAGGGAGTGAATATTTATGCGCCAAAAAAGCAAATTTTCGGAATCGAACTTGCGAGGTTCGAAACCTATGAATCTCAGGGTGGGCTGTTTACTCATTCCCTGATTCCACCGGTTGTATACCGCTCGGCTACTGCGGATCATAAATGCTGGACTAAATCTTTACATATATGCAGCCACAGTCCGCAGAAGGCTTTTTGAAACTCTAGTCCTGGTACGTTCTTAGAGACGCTGCAGGGTCTGGTAACGTGGAAGATACGGCACATACAATGGAAGGTACCTACCCTCGATATTGAACTGACCTAGAGGCTTCATAGCCCCAGTGGCTGCTCCTATGAGTCAAATTCACCGTATTTATCGAATAATTTACGAGGAGCTCGTTAGCGCAAAGGGAGAGAAACGAGTACCAACTAAAAGCCAAAGGTTCGGAATCCGAACCTGCGAGATTTGAATGCCTATCCATGAAATCCTGTTGGGTCTTACTGGTTATATACCGCTCGTTTATGGCGGGTGTGATTTTCCGATAAAAATTCCACGATATACGGCAGTAGTCCAGCAGAGGGAACAGAGAATACGCGCATCCCATCTCAGTAGCTAAACTCCTGCCCAACAAGCTTCTCGCTCAAAACCCACAGCATCTCCGCGTCAACCTTACTCCTAGCCCAGGGATAAATCTCCTCCTTCCACGGGTCTGCAATATGACAATCAGTAAGAAATTCCCCATTCTTCTCCCTCAGCGCCGGGTCAAACGCCGCAAACACATGCGTCGCGGCTCCCTGATCCATATCCTTGGGCTTAATATCCCCCATCCCCCACATATACTTGCTCCCCACCACCACGTCGGCCTTACGCAGGGCCTCCAGGAACCCAGGGAAGTCGTGCGCCTCGTGCGCGGCAAGGTTCGTGGGGACGTACCCCGGGCAGAGACTGAACGCCGTCAACCCCCTCGACGAGCCCAGCCTCTCGGCAAGGGCAATGGAGAAGAGGCTATTAGCCGTCTTGGATTGCCCGTAGGCCATCCACTTGTCGTAGTGCTTGCCCTCGTTAAAGTTATAATCCGTCCAGCGCACGTGGCCGAGTCTATGGGCGTTGCTGCTGATGTTGACAATTCTCGGCGAGGCAGAGGCGAGGATCTTGGGCATGATGAGGTTGGTGAAGAGGAAGTGGCCTAGGTGGTTTGTCTGGAATTGGCTTTCGAAGCCGTCTTCAGTCAGGCTGTAGGCTGAGGCCATGATGCCGGCGTTGTTGACGAGGAGGTCGATGTGGGGGACATCTGCACATGAGGTGACTGTTTCTGCTGCCTTGCGGACGTTGGCGAAGGAGGTGAGGTTTAGAATTAAGGGCTTGACATTGATGTCGGGGTGTGTGGTTGCGAGTTCGTCGATGAGGGGTTGGAACTTTGAGGGTGAGCGGCCGGCTAGGATGAATATAGCTGGCTTGGCTGCGGCGACTTGCTTGACGAAGCTGTCGCCGATGCTGCCTGGGGAGACTCCCGTGATAAGTATCGTCTTGCCGGCGATGTGAGGGGCGTAGACTGTGATGAGGTCACTAGCTCTGGTTTCGTTGTTGTATGTGGGAGCCATGGTATCTTCGTTTTGTCACAGGTTTGATGGTGCTTGGCTTACGACGGGGGAGAGAAAACTATCTTGCAAGTGTCTCTCGAATGGGGGGATGGAAATCAAGGAACGGCCTCTATATACCCCATCGCTTATCCTGAAATACAATCAGACGTGAGAGCTATGATAGCAGCTGAATCACAAGGCGGCCCACACTTAATGTTAGCTTTGAAGCGGACAGTCTTGAAATTAGTTCGCCCGAAGAGTAAAAACACGGCATCGACGGGCTACTCCATATCGTTTTGGGTCATGGTTACCTTTGTCTTACATGGCGCTCTATACGAGAGCATGAGAAAGGATACGTTACCGGAGATAGGTATACTCCATTGGTGGTTGGGAGTCTTGATTTCCGTAAGTGGGAGACCTCGAGCACGGAGTTAACGGTTGTAAGGGATCATACCACCGTCTGTCAGTAGATCATGCTGGCATCGTCTGCGAGGTTCCTTCGACACAGGCCAACTTCAGCTGTTTTGGAAAACGTAGAAAAGATATGTGGTGAAATTGATTGTCTTGTTGCTCCATAAACGCAGTAGCATCTCGGAAAACGTCATCTAGAAGCTAACCATCCTGTTGCTCAAGCCTTCGGGACTTGTCCAATTGGCTCTTGCCATTTGACCCTAACGCCCAGATACCTATCCAACCTTCCTTCACTGAAACGCCCGAAAATATGTTGCACTCATGTTCCATGTCGATAAAAGTTTGCTGCCATTTGGCATTCGACGCGGCCTAGGTCCGCGCGCAACCCTAACGGCCGTGTCCGCTACCCCACGTCGCACCGTTGGCGCTCGGAGCCGGGGCGGGGCTCCGCACGTTCGCACCGCCGGCGGAAGCGGAGGTCGGCGTTCGATAGGCGGCGATGTTGTGGAATGGCGCTGCCGAAGGAGGGGACGACAGCCAGGCATTCAGCCTGTCAGAGCCGTTTGGTTGTTGGTGTGTAAATGCGTTTGAGAATTGCTCTTGTCGAGGCCGAGGGATGGCGGTGTATTGAGAGGGGTGTTGGGCTTGGTTGGAAGACATCTTGACGGTTATGATAGTGGGGGACGTGGTTTCTGGTTCGTCTTGACCGCGATTGAGATGAGATGTGTGAATTGAAATGCAAGTTTGAAAGACGGAATGTAGGAGAATTCGAATGGCTCTGCCAGCGTTTTTAATCGAGATGAGTGCTCCTCGCGATCCTCGCTCCTCATCATTGTGAGGAGCGAAGCGGCGTGGTCCTCCTCCTCTTCCTCTTCATCTTCCTCACCCTCGCCGTCACCCTCCTCCTCGATAAAAAGACCAGGGGCTTTTCGGCGGGACTTTGGAGGATAACGTACACAAACAGGATAGAAGCAAAAGTCTAAGCATTTCCACCCATGGTGGTGAGGTCCGGGAGTCGACTGTAGACTCGGCTCCATCACAGCCGACACCGGGAATCTCTGACTCGCAGGCTTGTCACAAGAACCTCGTAGAATACCTAGGTAAACTACCTTAGGTACCGTGGGCTACTGCAAGGCACGGCCGCTCAGCACCATCTCGTCCATCGAATCGGGGGCGATGGCAGACGGCGGATCAAAAGGACCAAGCCAGAATGGCAGCCAAAGTTCGATGATCGACCGCGGCTGGGCGCTGCCAAAGGGCTGCTAAGTGGGTGGCCACCTGATTTACGTTTGATCCTTTTGGAGAGGACTTTTGCCGTTTATGTAGTCGCCTCCTACAGATCAAGTCCCCGCCAACAAGAACCTCGCTTGCAGGGGGCATGCAGAGGACTTTTGGCTCCTCGATGGGCATGATTGGTCGCCTCACCGCGACTGTAGTCCGAGAGCACCATAATCCAGAGATGGCCGTCATGCGTAGCAGGCCATAACCGACAGGCTGGTACAAACATCATAATTAGCCCTATTTGTAGTGAGGTATTGGAGAACCGCTCCACAGAGTATCCGTACTTTTAAGGGAGGTCTCTCTGGCCGGGCTTAAGTGCAAAAGGCCCTCGCATGTAGCACTGTGCCCGGGGAGAGGAGTGCGGGCTTTTGATTGGAGAAAACCTCCGGGTATCTATTCTTTCGCTCTTCTTAAGGGGTGACAATTCCGGCGTCATAGTATTCTTCCCACATATTGTACACACCACATGCTCCACATGTGACATTCGTCTATTTTGCGCTGACGCCATGAGAAGGTTAACTACGCTCCCAGCCGACTGTTCTGAAAACTTCTGCAAGCGCACCGAGGACGGTATCGACGATTGATTTGACGAAACCTTGGCGCTTGCTCTTTCCAGAGGAGTCCCGTAGGGGGTCTTCGCTGCCCATCGTGGGTAGAACGTTGTCGCTAGCGGACAAGCTCACGAACAGAGCAAAGGGGATCAACCAAACGCAAAGTCCAAAATAGGAGGCGATCTCGGTGAAGCTCGGAACGTCGTCGGGTTGGTCGTAGTAGGAGTGCATGTTCGCGTAGGATCGTTGCTGCGTGGCAGAGAAGTGCCGGAACCAGAGGTAGTGGTTGACGAGGACCAGGACTGGAAAGGCAAACGTTAGTTCGGAGCTTACATGCACAGAGTGTTTGCCAGTTGTCAAGACAGAGACGTACCACAAGAGGCCAAGAACAGAGGATCAGTCAATCTGACGAAAGGGAAACGGCGCATGTTGCCGAGATAGACGACATGGGAGACAACTCCCATGAGTGTCAACTTGAAGGGGAATCGGTCAACGATGCATAGCAGTAGCTGCAGAACAATGACCGAATAAATCAACTTTGTAAGAAGGCGCTTCGCAAAGACGGTATGCTCCTCGACAAGCTCCGATAAGTAATACAGACCGGAAGCTGGGCAGTCATTGTTAATAAGGAATCATCTTCACTCTGAATGCCAAGGGAGAACCGGGGGATCAGGACGAACCGATAGCGAGGGTCAGAAAGCAGAAGCCCACGATGGAGCCGAGGTAGCCGACCAAAGGTAAAATCCACATGGTGAAGGGCGTTATGTTGAAGATGTCTTCGTGGTATGTGGCATGAAGTGAAGTGAGAAGAAGTAAAAGAGAGTGGGTGATGTTGACTAGTTGGTACGCCGCGGGAGGAGGTTTGTGCACAGAAGCTCCCTACATTGTCTCCCGAAGCTATGACGGAGGGCAATGGGAGCTGGCCAGGGCGCGTCGTGAATTCCACTTTGCGCAAGCGTGGCCTTTGCGCGTAACGGACCGTCGGGAGATTCCTTGATCCGCTGTGGATGAGATAAGCAACCGACTGATTGGACATGCCTGGCCGGGTTCGACCCCACCATGTCCCGTCCGCGGGGGACCTTCCTTATCGATAAGCACCTGCCTCAATCGGTTATCTTCTTATCGATAAGTGTCCGTGGATCCCCCCAGTTGCGAATTTTTGAGGATTTTTGAGGATTTCTCACGACACACGATTCACCGCCCAACTATCCGATGCGCCGGCGTTACGACAGACTGTTTCGAAGCAAGCATAGACGCGAGTCTTTTTTTTTAAGATCATCCGAGTTCGATCTTCTACCAGAAACCGCCCATCATGTCGCGCCCTGAGGATACCCTGTAAGCCAAGGACCCCCCTCTAACCCCGCCATCTGCCTCTAGCTAACCAAATCTCTCTACTCAGCGCGGCCGACATCCACTACAATGACTCCGAAGCCCGCAAGTACACGACGAGCTCCCGTATCCAAAATATCCAGGCTTCCATGACCCGCCGGGCCCTCGAGCTTCTCGACCTTAAGCAACCCTCTTTCATCCTCGACGTTGGCTGCGGTAGCGGCTTGTCCGGCGAAATCCTCACCGCCGAAGGCCCCGAAGATGGCGGGCCACACACCTGGGTCGGCATGGACGTGTCGCCTTCAATGCTCGACATCGCACTCCAAAGAGATGTAGAAGGCGACCTTCTCCTCGCGGATATCGGACAGGGTGTACCCTTCCGCGCCGGTTCCTTCGACGCCGCTATCAGCATTTCAGCCATTCAATGGCTTTGCAACGCCGAGAGCAGCGATACCTCACCCGAGGGCCGTCTCACCAGATTCTTCAACGGACTTTACGCATCATTACGTAGAGGTGGTCGTGCCGTCTGCCAATTCTACCCCAAGAACGACACCCAGCGCAACATGATTACCCAGGCAGCCGTCAAGGCCGGCTTCGGCGCCGGTCTGCTCGAGGACGACCCCGAGACGAAGAACGTGAAGCTCTACCTTGTGTTGACTGTCGGTGGTACCGCAGAGGGTGGTCGCGGAGGCGACATCACAAACGTCGTTGACGGGATGGACAACGTCGATGTTGAGGACGCGAGGAGAAAGGCTAGTCAGCAGAGCGGCAAGGGTGACATCAAGAAGGGCAGCAAGGCGTGGATTGTCAAGAAGAAGGAGCAGATGGAGAGGAAGGGAAAGGTTGTCAAGTCTACCTCGAAGTATACTGGACGCAAGCGTAGAACTGCCTTCTAAGCGGACGGAGCTTGGCGGGTTCTCGGGGATGTCGCATGGCATGGCGTTCAGGGGTACATTGGAAAACTTGCTTTTAGAGATCGGAAATCGAATCAGATACCCTCATTTACCTCTCAAAATCTTTGTCTCATCTCTGAGTCTCCTTTTTGCGGATCCTGAATATAACCTTTGTTTTGCTGGAAAGAAAGGGTATCACACCACATCCTATGTCGAATAGCGGATGCAGTAGCACCCCGGCAGACTCAACCGGGGCATACGACAAATCAAGCATCCAAATCATGCTGTGGTAAATGGTAGATGAGTCAACTTTGGATCCTATGGCCACTTTCCACTTCGTCTGGAAGTCGAAGCCATTGGGTTATGTACCCAAGCTATTGTGGTATATTCCTAATGATGTTGTTTATGAATCATAGAGCACTTCTGGATTGTAAGACCTCTGCTGCATTTCGTCTTCACACCAAAGCCATGTCCTTGATAAGCTCTATGTCTTCCGTTTCATTAATGAAATGAGAGAAACAACAACTGTCAACTATACATAAGAGATCCATGGGAAGTCTTTGTCGAGCTCATTTTCGATACCAGATTCTCGACTTTCGTCCCTGCCGCATCTTCCGCTGTAGTTGCATCATCCCATAAAGTAGTGCCTCGGCTGTCGGCGGGCACCCGGGAACATAGATATCCACCGGCACCAGGCGATCACACCCCCGGACTACAGAATAACTATAATGGTAATACCCCCCGCCGTTTGCGCAGCTCCCCATACTAATGACCCAACGCGGTTCCGGCATCTGATCGTAAACTTGGCGGAAAGCGGGAGCCATCTTATTCGTCACAGTTCCAGCGACGATCATTACGTCTGACTGGCGTGGTGACGCTCGAAACATGAAGCCGAATCTGTCTTGATCGTATCGTGGGCCGGCGATGTGCATCATCTCTACGGCGCAGCATGCGAGGCCAAACGTCATTGGGTACATTGATGACTGACGACCCCAGTTGGCGAGTTTGTCGAGAGTTGTTCTGGTGCACGAGTCGTTAGCCGTGGGTGACGTGAATAGGACGAGGGGGATTACACGGCATATTCCACCAAAGACTTGGGCTGAGACTGTGTAGGAAGAGCAACTTCGCGACGATTTGAATGTGCAGAGACAGCCTTTTGGAAAATGGTTGTAGTTGCTATGCATCGAACGTTGGTTGTTGGGAGTATCGATCTTGTCGCCAGTCCTACAGCGCGCGGCGCCCTCGTCGCAAGAACTTTAGACATGGCTTACAGAGGAAGAGACTAATTAAGGAAGATGTTAAAAGAGTGTCTTTGGAATGGATGGATGCCGGAAGGGGGACCGGTGCTTTTTAAAGCCCAGGAAGTGAACATGGGTCCTAAGGGCCAAGCTCCGACGCCCAAGGCTACGGATAGGCCGCATAGGAATACTCGAAGACCAACCGGGGCTATTACACTGCTTCTGTATCATTTAATTGCTTTCTATGAGGTTACGGAGGGGACGAGATGTCCAACCAATAGTCTCACGAGAGCTTCGGTTTATGCTCGCCGTGGTCCAAGTCTCTGTATTCTATGAGGCCTCGGTCGAATATGTCTGAACGAATCCTCCAAAAAGAAAAACAGAGATTCACAGACAGTAACGTGTTAATGCATAATCGGGAGACCTCACATCAAGTTATTGAACGATCACGAGCATGTAGGCTCTTCACGCCATTCGTTGATGGTGATTGGTCCTACGTCTAAGTTGAAGCGTAGCCCCACTTCGGACTCGCGACGAGAACGAAGTGGGCCCATATGATCCGAGCCCTCCTTCCCCGGGCCCCGTATGTCCGTCGTCAGTAACACATCCGCAAAGATCATCAGTCCGCTTCAGTTCTTCCAGAGAACCTTCAATTGAATCAAGAAACTTCCGATTCGTTCCTCTATTTTCTCCTTCCTCGAGCTCAATGCAGCTAGACCCCTCAAGCAGCAAACCCTGACCTCGGCTGTAACCTGCTGCATCTAAACCCCAGAGCCCCCTGACTGGTGCCCAACGAACCTGGGCACGACAGACCTTGGCATGGAAGACTTGCCTTCCTTAAGATGTGGACCTAAGCGAGCTCACAAAAAGGTTCGGACGGGATGTATTGCCTGTAAGACGAGGCACGTAAAAGTAGGTGGCAGATCCGAAGCAGATTGAACCCAGATCTGACTGCTCTTCGGGATAGTGTGATGAGCGAAGACCCCAATGCGGGCAATGCACCAAGCAAGTTACTGCCTGTAATTTCCCTTCACCAAAACCATGTGCTACCATAGAGACTACGATACCACCCCCATCTCAGAGTCTTCCGTACAAGGGCGGGGACCTGGATCTCAACATGCTTGATCTCGAACTCATACATCACTGGACCATCTTCACACACGATAGCTTGACAGTCAGCCCCTTGATTCGGACATTCTGGCTGAGGAATGCGGCGCAAATTGGTTTCCGCTGTGACTTTGTCATGCGGAGTTTACTCGCCCTGTCTGCCTCACACCTAGCACATCTCAATCCTGCACGAGAAGAGGCCCTCTATCAACACGCACTGAGGCACCACAACACGTCCACCGCTTCAACTATTGCATCGATTTACCACATAGACCAAGTGGAAGATATCGCCATGCGGGAGAATCTTTTTCTATACTCGATGTTCATCATGTTCTACAGTACGTGTTGTCGACCTCCCTAACGCCTTTTGATCGAGACGTGGTGCTAATATCTCCGGTACTTCCGTAGTCATCTCACAGACGGATCACCCCCAGGATGCCATCTTCGGTCGTCCGAGTCGGAAGGAAAGATCTTCCCCGGACTGGATGGTATTCTTCCACGGATCAAGGTCAATCGCCCTTGCATCAATGGCGCTACATACCACTACCAGCTTAACCCATCCAGTAATCGGCTACACGACGGGGATGCTCGCAGATGGTGAGCGAACATCAAAGAAGCAATATCTCAGCACTCTACTTGCCCGCATAAAGGCCACCGAGTCAAATGCCCATTTAAAAACTTACATGCATGCTGCGGAAGAGCTTGAAGCAACGTTCGCGGTCCTGACCGAGTTCCCGGAGAGCAGAGACATATTTCATGGGTTCCTCTGGATCAGTAACGTTTCAGATCACAGGGGAGATCTGATAGCATTGCTCCAGGGACGCGATGCATCACAAGAAGCGTTGGTTATCTACACGTACTTTTGCAAGATCATCCAGCGGCTGCCGACACGATGGTGGTCTGAAAAATGGGTTCGGGGGCTCAAAGATGGTGCCTTCGCTTCACTTGATGAAGAGCATCGAACCTGGGTCGTCGATATACCCAGTTGGATCTGATCCGTCATCAGGCGCACAGCTTTATTTAGCTGTCTCGGCCGTTCGGAAGCACCCGTATACTAATAATCTCCAAATTCCCCGGCGTTGACTCACGCTTTATGAGTATCCTTGACAACTCGAAAGGTTCATGTTCGTGGAACAGCGCCGACTATACTTCCTTGGCATGCGGATGGCGTAAGCTAAGAAGCAACGCAGATCTTAGTGCCGAGATATCGGGAAAAAGGCATCATGCATTAAGGAGAATGAAATACATCGGCTTTTATTGGTGGGACATTACGTGTGACTTCTCGCGATATGTGAGGAGAAGCCAAGGCAAGGTCCAACGCTCGGGAAACGGGCCCGGTGTGGAAACTGGGACCCGAGCTCCTAATTGATCGGCGAGCCGGGCTGTCTTGCGCAACCGAGCCGGGGCCAGGGGCTGGGTTGATACGATGGATTATACTTTCAGACCGTCGTTCGGCGGACGACTGGAGTTGACCTCATGGGAACCAACGTGAGATAAAACTGCCCTCATCGAACCCATCGGGATCTGTGTCCATGGTTTCATCAGCAACAATCATCACGACAAGCTACAATCTGCATCGCAAGATTCAATCTAATCATCGTGTGTTTATTCCCTTTCAGCGGTTGTGGCAGCCAAGTCCATCTCAGCCCTCGAGATGCCTTCGATTGCCTTGTCGCTGCTTGTTTCAGCGGCCGCGGTATGTTAGTTGAGGATATGAAAGCTGACCCAAAGCTAACCACTTCCTCAGCTCAGTATTTACGGGGTGGCAACCGTCATCTACAACCTGTTCTTCCATCCATTACGCAGATACCCAGGACCGAAGTTATGGGCAGCTACACCTCTACCCGCAGCAATCAACATCCTTCGAGGCACTCCCCACCTCACCATTCTGGAGCTGCATAAGCGGTACGGCGACGTCGTCCGGGTGGGTCCTAACGAATTGGCACTTGCACACGCCGATGCATGGAAAGACGTCTGCGGACACCTCAAGCGCGGACAAGACGAGAATGGGAAAGATCCAAAATATGGCAACGAAGAGATGGACAAGAGCCTTATTTCGGCATCGCGAGAGAGACACGGGCCCGCACGAAGATTATTGTCCCACGCGTTCTCGGCTCGAGCCATGGCAGAACAACAGCCCCTGATGGACCGATGGATCAGTCTCTTCATCCAGAGAGTACACGAACACAGCAAAGGTGGAACCGCGGCCATGGATGCCTCCAAGTGGTTCGAGTGGACGACCTTTGACATTATTGGAGATCTTGCCTTTGGCGAACCTTTTGGATGTCTTCAAAACTCCGCCTCGCATCCGTGGGTAGAAAGCTTCTTCGCGTCGATGAAGATCATCCCTTGGATTCAAGCCATCAGTGACTTCCCTCTCTTTTCCGTGCTGAAACCTCTTTACTTCCTCCTCTTGATTCCCAAGGATGTGCTGAAAAAGCGGCATCTAAGTCAGGTTATGGCTGAGGAGAACCTCAAGAAACGGCTTGCGATAGGAGGGGACCGACCAGACTTTGTTCAAGCGTTGGTTAAAAGCGGCGAGAAGCACGTAAGTATCGTTGAACCAATTCGTGAATATCCTACGTTTTCTTCGAATATTAGAAAATAGTAGGTCTTACTGATATCATGTACCTATATAGGAAATGTCTCCGATCGAGATGAGGGACAACATGGCTCTCCTCACCACAGCGGGCTCCGAGACAACCGCGACGACCCTCGCAGCAACGACATACTTCCTTGGCAACCACCCCGAGGTCCTCGCAAAGTTGAACGCCGAAGTCCGCTCAGCATTCAAGAGCGAGCAGGACATTGATGTCAACAGCGTCCAGAGTCTCCCTTACATGCTCGCTATTCTCAAGGAGTCTATGCGGGTTTATCCTGCTGTCGCCATTGCCTTGTTGCGTCAGACACCCCCGAGCGGCGCACAGATTGCAGGTGACTGGGTGACTGGAGGGGTGAGTTCTGCCTCGATTTGCTTTCATGACGACGGGGCTTGTCCGAGTTTCACGCTGACATCAATGCTATGCAGACGACTCTGGGTATCTGGCAGTATGCTGCGTATCACGATCCTTCCAAGTTTCTTCATCCAGACGCATTCATCCCTGAGCGATGGCTGGATGACAAGCGCTTCGATGGTGATCAGAAAAGCTTGCATCAGCCTTTTTCTTACGGCCCGCGGAACTGCCTGGGCATGAAGTAAGTACTCTGAGATTTGCGCTGTGATTCTTTTCGGAATTTACTGACCCCTGGCCCATCTAGCCTTGCATTTGCTGAGATGAGATTGATTCTTGCACGCATCATCTGGAACTTCGATCTGGAGCTGGCGCCAGAGAGTAAATCTTGGGCAGGAAGTCAAAAAGTTTTCTTCTTCTGGGACAAGCCTCCCTTATGGGTGTACTTCAAACCCCGAAAAGATTGATTAATTGGTCCGTAGTTTTATTGGAAACAACGTACGGTGACAAGATAAATGTCAGACGCAAGGGATGGGGTTCAAGACCAATGCCAACATAGACAGTAGTAGATTTAGGAATGTTGTGGTATTGTATTCAAGATGGATCATCTTCGCGCTGTAACCTTGTGAGGGGCAAACCTTGAGTCCGCGTCAAAAGTGAAGCTTTTCCTGCGGGAGGCCGACAAGAAAAGCATTCCAGTGACGTACACCACTTTTCCGGGCCTGAGATGATTGCATCAGCGAACGAACTTGGCATTAGTTATTTCCTGCATATCAGATGCTTGGTTTGGTTGTTCGCGGGAAATATATCATGCCAGCACGCCAGGTTTCTCCCAGACAATTTGCATATAATCTGCATTCTACACCACACAGCAGAAACCATCACCTTTGATAAACACCCCAAAACAGAAACAAAAACACAATGAAGCGTCTCTCATTTGCACCTCCCTTAACTGCTCTTCTCCTCACTGCAAATGTTCCCGCAGCATAGGCTGGCCCAACAGCCTACGGCACCTGCCAGGCTGGTTGCGTGGGTGTGGTCGCAGCTTGCTATGCTGCTGCTGGTTCTGTCTGGGGAGCGACTGCTGGAGCAGGGGCAGCACCAGCTATAGTCGCTTGTAAATTGGCCATCAGGAAATGTCAGGCGGCCTGTGCTGTTGTTGCCTTGGCTCCTTGTCCCTAGAATGCATTCAAAGTTGTCTGTACAAGGTAAGTCTGAGAAGCCACTCTCTAACACGGATCAATTTCTCAGAAAGCACAGATCAGGCAGTTGTAAGAAAAATCGAGTAACACCGAAAGGACGACAGCGTCTTGCTTAGTATAGGCTGTCTAGGTGGTATTTGTAGGATCTAGGTTGATGATTAGGATATGACGACTTGGCCACGGGGTGGAGCTGACGTATTGAGTAGGCACCTCTTAAATACTTATCTTATCGATGAGGGGAACTGTTCAGAGCTGAATTCGTCACCATGAGAAGATGCGAAATGTGATCAGAAACACCTATACATGTATGCCATAGCCTTCACTGGCAACTAAACCATGTGAGCAATGATACATGTAGACACGATAAACTCGAAACTACCATGGTCTGGAGGGTATCATAGTCTGGAGTTGTAGGTTTTAGGTTGACATCAGGGGGCCAAGAAACATTCAGAAGATTGACGTGAGAATCTTAATATCTCTTTATCTCTCACTTGAACCCTGGGTAGTAGGTACTTATATCAACACCGTGTTAACTACCTCGTTCACTTGACCGAAAGTGAAGAAGCGCGGATACAGTCTCTGTTGCATCCTATACTTTGCTATTGAAGGTAAAGTCAGTCAATAAAATATGAGAAAGGCATTGTTGGAGCAACTTACTTGAATGCTACTCCCGCATCACTTGAACTTATTCCGGTTTGGATAAAATTATCAGACCACACCTTATCGTATCTATGATGCCGAGTGTCAGTTCATTGTTTACGGCGTAAAGCTGGCTCTTGGGTATTGGAGATGACGAACCTGTTGCAGATGTAATATGGGTTGTAGGCACCACGGGTGAGTTGAAGAACTCTGTAAAGGAAGACAGAGGCGCATTGATCTTCGAGGAAGGGACTGTTAACGAAGATGCATGTTTGGCGGATGAGGTCAGCTTACCAGTGCACTTGGAGAGACACCACTGCTCTATGCCGCTCGTCACTCCTTCGCTTGCACTATCAGAAGTGGCATCATAGTCGGCACTGGCGACTCCATCCCGCTCCAAAACCTTCGTAAAACCTTGGGGAGCATCACTCCACGCCGGCTTTGGCGGCGGTGATGGCTGTGCAGATGCCGATGACGAGGGGGCAGCCGACGTTAGAGCAGGACCAGAGGTCGAAGTTGGCGCTTCTGGAGCAGAAGTACTGGTGGGAGCTGCAGAGGCAACAGACGTTGCTTGGCAAGCACCAGCGCCGCCTGAAGGCGCTGCTTGGCGACGTCGACCCGCAGAAGAACCAGGAGCAGAGCAGGCCAGCCCGCGAGGGTCAATACCGTTCCAGATGACGGCGGGCTCTCCTTCGACTCTCGAATATGCCAATGATTTGACCATCTCCTTGACGTTTGTGGCGACTGAGCCTGGAACCTGAAGACGGGCCTTGTGCTCATCTTGAGACAGCCAGACCGCAATCACACCAGCGACTGCAGGTGCGGCTATAGATGAATGGTCGGTTAGCAATTTCTCTCAGACAGCCAAATTCGTGATGAAAGTCAATTGCTTACCGAAGGAGGTCCCGTAAAGCTCCTGTGATCCGGCAGATCTGCCAGAGGCGCAATCGACAAAGCCGGGGGCGGAAACAGTCAGTTGATCACCAGTGCCTTGCGAGAAGAATGCGCGGTAGCCGTCATTCTCAGTCGCGCCCACGACGATGATGTCCGTGGTAGGTCCAAAGAGGGCAGGGTACTCCGTTACATCATCGACGCCGTATTGCTATGTAAAATGATTAGCAAAAATGAGGAACCGAAACTATGCACGGGCTGTGGGATCCTTACAGCATCGTTTCCAGAAGCCGTAACAATGACGATGTCTTCTGCCATAAGAGCGACAAGGAGTAGCTTGTATGCTGTAGTGGTGGACGATAGCTTGTCGGGAATGCCTGCCATAGATGTTTACTTAGCATGTTGTCTGATATCTAGAGTAACGATGCCGAGTGATTACGGTGATCGTGTTAGACTTACGAGACCCTAGCGACATGTTTATGACAGCTTTGCCTTCAAGCTTCTTCTGGAAAACATCGTTGCTGATCTCAATCAAAGCAGTGAAGATTGCGGAAAGCGAAAGAGTGCCTGGGAGTTTGACCGCAATCAAGTCAGCCCCCTTTGCAGTACCGTATGCAGGCCCGGCTGCCTTCGAAGCCACACACGAGCCGTGGTTCAAAAAGTCGGTCTCGTCTTTCGTCGCGCCGGGGGCATACATGAAGCCCTTCGTTCCTGTCATGCCCGTCCATTCCTGCCATGTGTCAGTAGTTGGTCATGGACCTCGGGATGACGTTTCAAGATGTCATACCGAGTTCTCGGCATTGGCGCCAGTGTCAATGACATAGATCGTGACTCCTTTCCCAGCTTCTGAAGCATATCCGAACCCAGGCAAGTCCGCAATGCTTGCTCCAGATGGCTGCGAGATTGCTTTGAGTTCATCCACTGCATCCGATTGAAGCGCAATATCAGACGGGTTAGGAACACTTGTCTGTGGCGCACCGGGTGGCCCAGTGGCCGTTGGTTGGCGCGAAGCGGATGAGGGCGGGGCAGAAGACGACGGAGGTTGCTCTTCTTCCAACCTCTCGTCGGGAGTAACTCCGGCAACCTATGTAGTTCTTCAGTACTGTGAAGGTTTGTGGACAAAAGCAGGATTAAACTAACACCAGGACGCTTTGACATAGCGTCAGCTTGCTCAGTGGTGATATTCGCCTTGAACATTGCGACTAAGCCGGTGCGGTCACTGATGACCTCCTCTAATGATCTGGGAGTAGCATCTCTTGAGAGCGTGCTGTTGAGGTCTTGGATCTCTTCCTTTGTGGAGTTTTGCGAAGTGAGAATGATGTAGGGAGTTGTTATAGCCGTAGATGACGGTGTGGATGAAGATGTGACAAATGTCGAAGTGGGTGCCGCCGACGTCGAGCTGGGAATTGACGGGGCAGATGAAGGGGGTTTGGATTCAGCTGGACCCGAGGTCTGAGGATTCTGTGATGGGGCCGGATTCGAGATGTTTTCAATCTCGGGAGTATCCCCGTTAGCTCCGGTGCCGATAATTGACACAACGGCTCCCGGAGCTAGAGCGTGGGTGACACCGGCAACCACAAGAGATCCGCCGCCGGCGCCAGCTACGTAGGTTGCGCCGATGACTGCAACAACCACCTCTCCATCAGAGATTGTCTGTGTTGTGGGAGCCGAGCTAGATGTTCCGATGGTTGTCCATGTTGATGATACGCGCGTTGATGTTTTGGGGTCTGGAGTGATCAGGGGCTGTGAGGAAGAAGCTCCGGTGCTAGCTGGCCTTGTTATGTTTGAGACAGGAGCTTGTCTCGCCATCAAATGACGTCTACTGTGCATTACATCATTCCGACTATCTTGATGCGGGAGAGACACGGCCCCGCTGCTGAATAACAGCAGGGTGAGCCCGTAGACTAGGCCGCTGGGATGCATTTGAACGAGGGGCAGGTAAAGAATGACTATGCTCAAAGAGCGAATGTAAAGATTGAAAGAATGACAGAGGGTAGTGGGCTATGGGAAGATGTGGACAGCGTCAAACGGCTTGTCTTTGGGTGAATATATAGAACCGTTGCCGTCCTAGACAAGCCAACAAGCCTGTCGGCTGCTGATGATGAACTGCGGCCATAGCTGCCATCTCAACTTACCCGTCTTGGCGTAAAGTTTAGTCGATCAATTTACTGTCAGGAGAAGTTTGCGCCATATTAACGAGCAATCATGAGAAAGCTCGACCATGTGCCTGTGGCTCACTGCTAGCTGTTCATGCGGTTATTCTTAGCCATGACGCAAGTCGCTTACACGATGCCGATAATTTAAACCATACGGACGGAAACTTTAATATTGTTTGGACTGGCAGCTCTAGCGCCAAACCAGCCCTACAAGGCCATGACTCGGGTATGTAGAGTCTGGGCCCAGTTGCCCCTCCTTTAGGAATCCGCGGCTTTACGTGAAGCATGAATATTAGTAGGGTAGCAATAAGAGGCTGTGTGCCGCGCGCTTTCCACCCAAAATAAGCCGAAATACCCGTAAATGCCATGTTTCGGAATTCGCGTTTCCTGGCTTGCAGATGAACCTGGAAAATTGTCCCCGAGCCCGAACCTACTTTGGGTTCATCTAATGAAAAGGCGCCAAATCATGACGTGATAGATGAAGTTCTCAATGGAAGAGGTGCAGGGTAAATCTAACAAGTCCTCGTTATCGTGTTGAAGGAAAAGTATAGCTCTGGTTTTCCCAGGGTGGCCTAGCGACGACTGCCGTGAAAGAAAGTGAGCTGCGCAAGGTGTCAAGTGTGTGAAAGAATAGGATGCCAGCCAGCACACGAGCAGCCCCTTCTTCTACACTATTAAACATGGAATCATACTCATACGCGTCTTGGAGAGTACATGTATTCTTCAAGGAATAGAAAAAAAAGAGAGAGAAAATAGAACAGCAAGTATAGTAGAATAGTAGGAGTAGTAGGAGTAGAATGGATAATGGTGGGAATAGCCGGACTAGTGATTTGGTGTTGGGCGGCAAACTATTGTGCCACCCACTTGGGCACTTGAGTGTATTTGGCGGTAGTGAAGGCATCGGAGAACTCGGAGTGAAGCTGAGACGATGTCCGGAAAATGATTGATGACGAACAAGCGGTCCATTATGAAAACCACTAAATATTGACATCGACCTAGAATCTTATTTACGCCGATTTCTTAGCGATTCCTTGGCGCACACCCCCTCCCCCTAGAGCGAGTCTTGGGGAACACACGACGAGACCAATAGCTCCGAGCATTCTTTGCCATATTTAAAGGCGGAATTATGCAGAGTTTTGTTCTTTATCATTCCGTGGTTTACCTTAATACGCGTTGAACTTGCCACTGCGTTGTGACCTCAATGCCCATCTCGTGGTGTTTTTCGGCCTCTGGTTCCAGCACACAAGCACTTGATCGGATCCCAGAAGGACTTGATTGTCCTATGCAACGCTACATACAAGAAACTTATAACTCAAAATGGCAAAATCAACTGACGAGATGAGTATAAGTACTTCATCTCCCCATATTACTCATTCTTTGTTGCGGTTCACGGGGTTCCACACCCATCTTCAGAAGATGCATGTGCCATGAGATATCATTCGTGACACATCCGGCACAACTATTATCGATCGACACATATAATTAATCCTGTTGTGATGATGGCGACACACTGTCACACTTCAGGCATACTGCTTGGAAGTATCCCGTGTTCTAATTCTCCTACAAACTCCCAGTCTGGATGGTCAGACCAGATGCATGCGTTAGAGTCACGATTTGTGGCTACGGAAATGAGGAAACTTAGGACCAGTGTCAATATGGTTTCCCCGACAGTTTGCTCAAGAAATGAGGGGCCAGAGCGTCTAGGAAGAATGAATATGGACTGAAAGAATAGATGGAGCTGATGCCAGCTTGATCGCGTTTCGATTGACTTGTCGTTCAGACTGAGGTAGTTTTGGAAATGTCAAACTGAGAGTCTAAGGGAAACAAGACTGAGAATAAGGAATTAAAGTCCGTACAGAACGAAAAAATCAGTTGAGAACAATATTGAGACAATCCTTACGTTTATTGTTTACAAGGCTTGGGCTCGGGAAGTCTTGTTGATAATTTAGTTATCCAATCGGGGATTCTTCTACCGAGCACGCTGTCAATACATAATTAGAGTAGAGGAGGTGCATGCTGTTAGCTGCTCGCTTAGGTGACACCGAAGACTAATGGGACTAGCGATACTGATCATTCAACGACGGAGAGTCAATTGAGAAGAGACGCTAAGCCCTGAGCGTGACACTTCTTCCCCCTCTCTACATTTCTTCCAGGCTGTCGAACATTGCGCAGGCACCTACCAATACAGCTTGCGCTCAGTTTGACCGCGGCAATACTCCCAGTTTACATGTACACATCAAGTTCCCTAACTTAGATTCGTCTTCTGCCGACAGCAGTGGGCCAAGGATGGCCCCATTCTCGCCGTTGAGGGATGCCAATTTCGAAGGATCTGGGCCACAGGAGTTCACCTGGGCTCTCCGATGCATCCACCTAGTCGCAGGCCGCGGATCCCAGCCGATCGGCTGCAGGCTGCATTCATCGACATTGGGGCAAAGCCAACGCAAGTATGAGGCGTTGTCATATGCGTGGGGCGATCCAACGAAAGATGTCGAGATTTCGCTGGAGGGACAGCCCTTCATGATCACCAAGAATCTAGAGACGGCATTGCGTCGTCTACGGTTGCCGAATGAAAACCGTACGTTGTGGATCGATGCAATCTGCATCAATCAACACGATCGTGCCGAGGTTAATCTCCAGGTCAAGAGGATGTGGTCGGTGTACAGATACGCGTCGAAAGTCATTGTCTTTCTTGGAGAGGGGACAGCCGATACCAAACACGCTGTCGAGCTGATAAATATCTTGTCAAAGGGGGGAATAGGGCTTAGCCATCGACGCGTTACGTCTTTACTCTTCACCAAGAATGCTCAGCCTGCAAAGCAAGCTTTACGAAGCTTGATGAGCGGTGCATGGTGGAGCAGAGCCTGGGTCATTCAAGAATTCTCAGTTGCGGCGGAGGTTGCCTTCGTCTGTGGTGACCTTGAGTGGTCCGGTGAATCCTTTTCCGAAGCATTGAGGACGCTCGTAGACGTCAGATTCAACGCAGCCCTGCCGCGCGGTCAGGGATACTTCATGAGAGAGATCGCTTCGACACCAATAAGTCATCTGATGACAGCCCGCAGAGACTACCAAGACAGCCATTCGAAAAATTCCAAAGGCGCCCCCACAAGAGACCCGCTCAGTCTTCTCTACAGGTTTCGGAGCTTCAAAGCTTCAGACCCCAGAGACAAAGTATACAGCTTATTCCATCTAATCGGAGAGATCTCGCTCCTACAACCAAACTACAGCCACCCGGTCAGAGATCTCTACATAGATGTAGTCAAAGCTTCCATCACTTCATCGGAAACTCTCGAGATTCTCTGTCATCATAACAGGACAGAAAACTGCATGCTTGGCTTGCCAACCTGGTGCCCTGACTGGACCGTGCAACGAGGCCAGAGAATTCTCCTGTGGCAGAACGATTACGCAGCTGGGGGCGATGGGAGCAAAACTTCGGCAAGGTTTGAAGGAGATGAACTGCAACTGGACGGCAAGGTCATGGATAGAATTGAGTGGGCGGTGCCGTTCGAGCCGAAGATGTTCAGGAAACCCGGTTTGGTCTTTGACCAGATCATGACACTCCAAGCTCGGGTGTTAGAACGGGCGCCTGAATTTCCCAAAGAGAGGAAGACAACTGCATCGTTGGCCGAAAAATTCAGAAGAACTTTGGTGGGATCTCGCATCAGGGTAAGAGGGCCGCGTCACGAGGCGACGGTTCTCGGCCAACATGAAGCTGACAAATTCTGGGATGCTTGGTACAGTTCGATGATCGACCAAGGGTCATCGGGACTGCATGGGACTGCTAAGACCTATAATGATGCTCTATATAGCGCACTAGCTGGAAGAGTCTTCTTCATTTCCGAGAAGGGCTGCATGGGGCTGGCTGACAACCCGGCACAGGCCGGCGACGTGCTCGGTATCTTCGCCGGTAGCCGCGTCCTCTTCTGTCTAAGAGAACAGTCGACAAAAAGTCCAAAGACCACGGGAAATTCGAGACGCAAGTTCAATCTAGTTGGTGAATGGTAAGTGTTTCTCCAAGCTCACGTAATGGTTCACACTTTTGGCTGCTTACTGATAGCCTTGGATGGCAGCTACTTGCATGACTTCATGCAAGGCGAAGGCATTCCCTCTGGAGAGATTCTGTCACCAATCTATCTGACATAGTCACGTAAAGTACTCTGCGGTAAGTATCTTCTTCATTCATGATAGAGATGTATGGTTTCAATAGGATTGGTATGTCATGATCACTGGCGAAAACCCATCGAGAATTCAGCCAGTTCGGGGACTCAAAGGTTCCATATTTAGTTGCATGGAAGTTTAGTACCCAAGGCAGATTTTCCCTAAGAAAGAAAACACAGACAAACCATGACATTTCTGCCCTAAAAATTTTCGAGGTTTTGTAGGTCGCTATTGGCAAACGACACATTATCAAATGGTTCCATATCCCTTCCAAAAAAGGCAATTAGATCGTCGGGGCAATGCCAAGCACCGAGGCCCCTTGTGATTGCGGCCCGGAGCTTAACCCCGCAAGGAGGATTTTCGACTACACTACTTTAGTCTAGTCCTAACAGATAGGTGGCTGATTGCAACATGCCGCTTTTGTCTCAGACCGGGGGCTGGGGATATAAAGCGTCCACAGGGCGTTCTACTCCCCACAAACAGGTGAAGGTCGTTCATGCGCCGGCCAACTCCACGCCCTGTCCAGTTCCAACTACTTTCTTCTTGAACGGGCTTGGCCAAATTTGACTATTCTATCCACCACATCCGGTCAACTCATTTTTATCAAGCAGAAGTGGCTCAGTAACTCCTATCATTGTCTGTCGGCTTACTCACAGCTCCCAAAAAACCGAGGCGGGAGAGCTCATGTCGTCATGACGTTAAGCGATATCACCCCTGTCCCTGCACCATGGAAGCTCAAGGGCGACGTCTACGTCTTCAGCTTCTGGGTACCTAGGAAGCAGGCAGAACACCCTCCAGCGATCACATACTCTCCGCTTGAAGCCAACTCGTCTTTTATACGCCCAGAGGGTAGCCGCCCCCTCGGGGGAATCAGTATGATACAGATCATCCGCTATACCGAAAGTCCTGTCGGTCCCTATGATGAACTGATCTTGAGTCCGGGGTTTCATGAGTACACGGTCGAGGAAAACGGCAAGCGCATCAAGAAGAAGAATGCAAGAATTACGAGGATATACGTCTCGCAAAAGTACACGTGCTGGAATGGGCGAAAGAGTGAGTTGCCTTGGCCATTTACCACGACACCTTAGCTCGTTGCTCACAAAAGCGGCACGAAGATTGGAACATTCCTAAACATCTAGCAACTTTCGACTGGGAGACAAAGTCGGATGGCAGCACTGCTGTGAAGGTATTTCCCCGCGACACATCGGGTGACGTTATGGAGTCGGCAGCAAGCACCACGCCCTTCTTCCAAGCCACGTTTAAGTCTGTCCCATATGTGCCATCGTTTCCTCTCTCTCTCGATGTCCTGAAGTATGTTGGCTTGGACGTAACTCTCGTCCAGCCTCCACTGCCCGAGGGAAGTGGAAGCCTCGATGAATTACCAGGAACCGACCGCTGGTGCAGCATTGTGCCAGGCCAAAGCTCGAAGAAGACGAGTCTAGGTTGGTTCGACATCCGACAAGCTGATGAAAAGGGCCATATCATTGGCGAACACGAAAACTTCTGGCCTGGACTTGGAAGGTGGCAGATTGGACTAAAGATGGAAGATTCAATTGTCTCCTTTCCCGAACCTAAACATTGGCGCGCGCCCAAATCGGTGCTATAATTGAGTTTCGTATCTTCAAGAGTGGGGAAGTAATAGGACAAACGCCTCTGCTGTGGTGGGAAAAATCGAGAATAAGTGCCTTAGATATCGTACCCCTCATGTAGGAAGATAGTAGCAAGACTGATTTATGAACTTTTCCGCTTAACAAAGCCTGCCGACCCATTTTGGACTGTTCCACTCACACCTCTGCATACCCGCCAAGGGGACCACGGTTCGTCTGCAGGGGATAACATATGGTTGTGACTCAAGCTCCTAGTCTGGCTCCGGCAAGAATGATCCCGCCGATTCTCGCGAGGCAAGGTGCCATTGCAGCACGCTCGGACGCAAGAAACGTGGGTGTTCATCTAAGCTTCATGTCTTACATGACGATATGGGCAGTTGTGGGACCCTGCTACTTGGGACGGCCCAAAGCGAGTGCCAGCGGTCTGACAGACGCGAAACTATAAACACCCGAGCACCAGTATCCAGCATGAGTCAAGACGACCTCGTTGACTTGGCCGATTTGCTGAGAATTGCGAGTTAAGACACGTTGGAGGTGGAAAGATGCTCTCCACTGAGATAAAAGACTCCGGGATATCTAGCTTGCACTGCGCAAAATTGCCCGTCATGACGCGGTTTAAGTTGAACAATGATTACCAGTATTACGAGCTACTAGATACTCATGACTCCATTTGGGGCGTTCAGAGTTTTGGAAATCAGTTGTCGACTCATACTTGACGCTCAGACTGAGTCAGGAAACGATGGATGGTGGTCTAACATGTGTCAAAGGAGAATGTGGTCATGAATCATAAATTTCACAGGATATCTAAAGTGCCGAGCGCTCTACGCAAATGGCAAAATCTATCAAACTCTAAGCCCTGACTCTCTCCTGTCCAACCTTGGCAGCAAGCTCCAAGCCCTCAGCGACGTCGCCGGGCTGTGACAGGAAGGGGGAGTGGGAGGCCTTGGAAGAGAAGGTAATGGCGGTGGGGCCGAGGAGAGTGGCCATGCCCTGCTGGACGGCCAGGGGGATTGCCTTGTCCTCGTTGCAGAAGAAGAACATGGAGTCGATCTCGTGCCACGGCTCGTAGGTAACGACATCGTCGAAGACTTGAGCGGACTGGTGCTGCAGCTGCTCAATAGCCTTGACGCGGGTCTCGGGCGCAACATCGTGGTAGAAGATCTCCTCTGGAGTCTGGGCGTAGACATAGTTGCCCTATAAAAATGTGAGTTTTGCAGTTTTATATATGCGCACGGTCATTCAGCATCATCATACCTCAAACTTCATCCACGGGAGGAATTGGCCACCAAGCATCTCTCTGATACACTTGCCCTTGGGTACAACGAAGGCGGTAAGGTAGACGAAAGTGATGACACCGCCCTTCTTGCCTTCCTTGGCGCGCTGCTTGTAGCCAAGTCCCTCGACGGCATTGGCTCCGACAAGACCACCATAGGAGTGCACAACCAGAACGATCTCCTTGCCCTCATCGGCGAGTCTCTGGAGGACAGCTCTGACAGCGTTGGCGTCGTCCGTCAGGCCCTTGGTGGGGGGCTCAGCACCGACAGAGGGGTACTCAACGGCCTCGACGGGGTAGCCGCGAGCCTCAAGAAGTTCCTGAGCGGGCGAGTAGCAGGTCTCCTTATGCCACGCACCAGGTGCGAGGACGAAAGTGGGCTTGGTGGTAGACATGGTTGATAGCGCGTGGGCTGCGTGAAAGAGTTAAGCGATGAAAGTGAGCTCGGCAGGAGAATTTCCAGAAAAGTCAAAAGCTTGAATCATTGACTGGCAGAAGGAAGATGCTGCCACGTTATTAAATATGAGTGATATCTGATCGTGGGAGCCGGCGCTCAACTCGCGTCTGCCCCTCGCCTCACCGCAATCCATCCTTTCCCCTCTCCTCTGTAAAACGGTAACCTTGCGGCCCCGGTGATATCCCTGGAAGACGCGCCTTTAGCACGCCTTTAGCTTCCCGGAATCCCAACCCGGAACTCGGGAAACCCTGGATAGTGTCCACTAACGTATGGCAACTGCCACATCTCTCGCGAGAGCTATGGGGTTGCGTGAGGGTGTGACGACTCATGGGCTTCGTTGCGTCGCACTCAATGCGGAGCACTCTTCAGCGGCACTTCCCAACGGGGTCGAATTGTCCAGTAATAGGCCGAATATAGATTGATAGGGGTCTGTCAAGAGGTGCGTGCGCACGTCAACAGGGGGTCTCAAGGATACCGTTCCCGGACGACCATGCTGGTGACTTTCTACTTAAGGAGTCCTTGACTGGGGGACACTTCCGATAATGTCCTTGCCAGGTTGGCTTCTGCAACGATTTCTGACAACAACGTCGTAATAGGCGACCCTGGCGTCGTATTTACAGGCTTCACTTGGAATGTCTGACCCTCAATCCACGTGTAAAACGAGAGGGTCTTCGGAAGCAGGGTATCGATGGAGGGGTTGCGCGACGATCAATGACCTGGGCTGTCTTTGTTGGGGTGACGTTGGGCAGGAGCAGTATTCAATCCACAACTGCGTGGGGGCTGACATCGCCTTTGCCTGCTGCCTCTCCTGCTCAGAAAGTTTTTGTCATGAATGTTTCCGTACTTAGTATCAGCTACTTCATGCCGCGCCAACCGTTTTCACAAAAACCAGGCATCTGAGACTGGCTCTTACATCCATCAGTACCCTCAGTCATTTGGAACAGCAAGATCAACTACCAAGGATCACAGAGACAATCTTCAACGAGATGACAAATTCTACGAGGTTGCTCGGGCAAGATTCGCGTGTATCGACAACTTTAGACATATTGTCAGGTCATCTCGAAGATTGACACAGCTGATTAAGGCAGGTACATGTAGAAGGAGAGAACGGCCTTTGGCATGATTGATAAGGTCTGTACGTGACCAGCGTTGTCGGCCTTACACGTTGAAGGTGGCTGGGGTTCAGTCACCTTCATCTAGTCTTGATCGTACACGGTTCACGCGGCTGTTCTAAGAATGAAATGCCGAACAGATAGATTGGAGAGAATTGTCTTTAAGCTGTTCGTGTCCGGTTCGGCCTGCTGCAGTCAAGCGGCGCGTGCGCTGACGAGGCCTCCCAGGAAGAAACAGGGCTGAGGGATGTGTGATGCAGGCCATCCTCAAAATAGTAAGAGTATACCGACGAAATGGTCATTCGTGGGAGGATTATGACATGCAATGACCAATAGACTCACTCCGCCTTGCGGCTTGCTTTGTGGAGGCACATTGTTGCGTTTCCAGCTTGGCAGAAAGGCGGGCGGAGATCTCCAGTCACCATAGATCTTGCTTTAGTCCTAGTTGGCGCACTATCTTCATTGGCTTAACGTCTAAGCTGCAAAACTAAGCTTCCTGACTACATGCAAGATCCTCCACGAAATCCTCAAATATCTAGTTTGTCCTAAGAATCACCAACGCTTACTAACAAACTGAAAGCTCAAAGATTATGTGAAATGGTATCAAGTACAACGCAGCAGGTCTGGCCCCAAACTCAACTCACGAATAGAACAATGGGTTTAGTAGAAGATATTCGCAATTTACAAGGCAGTGTGGCTCGGATTCGAGAAGTGAGGCAGCGACCACTAGACGTGATAAGACGAGCCATGTTCTCCACAGCTACTATTCAGACGGGTAGTGGCACTAGAAATGTTCTACGGCGGGCCAGGCTAGACAAAGGGGTGGCAAAAAACAATGTAGTTAAACTGAATGTTTTGCGGTATGGAGTATCTCCTGACTTCATAAACTTGTGAACATCGATATGTCTCATACGCTCAAAGACGGACTGGATACATTTCAACTGGTGCGTGTAGACTTATTGCCAATGTCAAAATTTATTTGGTGGTGCAGAGAAAAGTAAGTAGTGCGCGCCCTTGGAAGCGTGCTTGAGCAAACCTTTAAAGTAGTTTCAAGACCAGTGAAAGACCCATTTCTGCCTGTCCGTAGCAGTGACTAGCCACTGCAGACTCTACCCTTTTGTCGACCTTGGTAGACTGACGATGGTTCCAATCTATCTGGGTCTGACACAGTCAAGATTGAAGAGCTTGGTTGCTTGTGAGAATGGTACGAAGTACCAGTCTGTTGGGGTCAGCGTGTTTTGAAATTAAAACAATCACGAGTGCATATGCACGATATTGTGAGCAAAGCCGCAGCCAAGACTGACTGTCTCACCGTGTCACAGATCGAAGCGCTTCCGTCCAACGATTGGCCCCAATAAGCGGCGTCAGCTTTCGATCCAGAATCAGCGAATTGGACTATGCCACATTCCGTCATGGGTCACGCTGATTCTTGTATTCATTTGGCTAGCGCCGCATTTCGATTTCAGTTGAGTTCCAGGGTAAGCGGACATCGGTGAGACTCTCTAGGCAGCCTCGTTTCTGCCTGAAGCTTTGCGCGGCTTCGTGCGTTGCCTCACGAGACATGACGAAAGACTCTTAAAATCAAGGCTAGCCCCCAATTTACTGTCATTGTCCGAGACTTTATTTACTCAATCAACCTTGGAAATCAACCATGAGCGAACTCTTTAAGCTCACCAAAGCCTCGCTCCTCACCAGTGCGACTGGCGCTACCGATGCAACGTCCCAAAAGCTATACCAGGGACTCAACGACTTCTTGGAACGCACAACACCAGGCTTCAAATTCTTCACAACGTGGCTCAAACTCGACATCACCACAATAATCCTTCTGATAACACTAGGAGGAGAATTGCCAAGGGCGTTGACGGGCATTCAGAAGCTGGGCACTCAGATCTACTGGTGGATTACTCGATTCTTCACCGCCTCCATCTCCATCGGCAGTAACGACAAACTCAACAGAGAGGTTCTCAACTGGCTAGGAGCCCATGTTCTGACCCGGCAGGGTACTCGTATCTTGACAGCTCGCACCGAGGTGATCCAGAACGAGGCATGGTACTATCGGAAGCCGATTGAGCGAGACGACCTCCATCATGAGAAGAGGATTCCTGTGCAGTATCTACCAACCTTCGGCACCACCTGGTTCATGTATGAGGGAGGGTTCTTCATGGTCCGAAGAGTGTCTAACATACGCGCCGGCTCTGCGTACACCGGCGTTCCCGACGAATACTCTGCCGCCCCGGAGGGCGATGAGCCGCTCGTCGTGATGCGGTTGGGGCGATCCATCCAACCTGTCAAAAACTTTCTCAACAATTGTCGACTCTTTGCGGACAAGCAGCGCGAGGCCTTCATCACGGTGAGAGCAACAAAGAGCCAGTACAATCAAGAGACCTGGGACACCACTATCCTCAGACCGATACGTCCACTAGAGACCGTGCACTTTGATGAGAAGACGAAGAGAGAACTTGTCGATGACATCGAGACGTATCTCGATCAGAAAACCAGGAAGTTTTACACGGAAAGAGGGATTCCGTACCGGAGAGGTTACCTCTTCTACGGACCTCCCGGTACCGGCAAGACGTCTCTTTCTCTTGCACTAGCAAGCTACTTCAACCTTGAGCTCTACCTACTACATATTCCCAGCATTAGAGAGGACAACGACTTGGAGGACCTCTTCACAGCGCTACCGCCGAAATGCATTGTCTTGCTCGAGGATATCGATGCGATTGGAATCCAGCATCGCAAGAAGTTTGATGCGGACGATTCGTCGTCAGACGACAGCGACAGCAGTGATAGCAGCGCAAGATCATTTGGACGTTGTCGCTGCACTTTGTCGGGTCTTTTGAACGTCTTGGATGGGGTCGCGTCCCAAGAAGGCCGCATCGTTTTGATGACGTCAAATGTGGCTCATAAGCTTGATAGAGCCCTCGTAAGACCAGGCCGTATCGACAGAATGATCTATCTAGGTAACATATCCAAGGGAAGTGCAAGGGGCATGTTTGAGCGCATGTATCGACCACATTTGCTACCAGAGACTCTCCTCACGGACAAAGATGGTGAGGCTCTTAAGGCGCAAACTTCGACATTCGACGATTTGGCAGAAGGATTTAGTTCTCAAGTCCCAGACGACATATTCACCCCGGCTCAATTACAGGGGTTCTTGCTCAATCATCGCAATGCACCAGAAGAGGCCGTCAAGAGCATTGCTGGGTGGGTTGTAGAAGAAAAGGCCACGATGGATGAAGCACAGCGACGGAAAAAAGCGGCAAGTGAGCGTAAAGCGAGAAAGAAAAAGGCCCTCAAGATGAAGGCGCTCAAGGCACTCGCTTCGGACTCTGATGTTGAGGAAGCCAGTGAGAAAGCTGACGAAACGGAGATGAAGAAGGCCAAAGGGGCCGTGGAAAAGAACACCAAAGGCGCTGGCGACCAACCTCAGAGTCCTCCGGTCGGCACGGAAGAAGCAGAGAAGGTACCTGAGGAGGCAGAGTCGCCAGTTGAAGGCAAAGCGCCAGTTGAATAACTGGTGATAGAAGTAGACGTGGGGCGAGCGATTAGCATTTTGCATGGCATTGGAGTTACGGCAACTTCTTGAAAGGGATCGTATTTGAATCGGAGTTGTTCTTGATCATCAGTTTTCAGCATAGTAAATACGAGCAAGGCAACATCATCCATGTCGAGACAATAGGTCTATTGCTTGTAGTGCGAAGCCGGCGTCAATCGAAGATGGCTAGTCGATGCGGCACTGCAGGGGTCAACGGCGCCCGACTTGAGGAAACGACGCATGGAACTCCGCAAGAACATTTGAATCTCCCTCTCTTCCTTACTACATGTACCGGAATTCCAGCATCATCTTTCGAAAAGGTCCTCACTGGCGTCATTGTATCTCGATCCGGGTTGCGAGGCGAGGGGGACCTCACTGGCCAACAAGGATAATAAGTACTTTGTGGCCTTGAACGCTCTTTTCCAAGTATATTTTCTGCGCTCACAGACACTTGACCCTTTTTCAATCATCGCGTGCAGATATGTGACTTGAGCCCACCACGTCAAAGCTCTCTACGCACATTCATATCATGCACTTTTCGCTCGATTCAACTCTTTCGGGAGCTATTTGGCTCCTAGGCCACCTCCCCAACGTGGTCGCCGAACCCGATATCAGCAGCCCGGAAAGCACCAAAGAATCATCGCGGTCACTTGCCAAGGACCTGATTACTTTTTACAAAGGCGACGACCACGCAAATTTGCCGGCCGGGATTGCTACCGTGGTCGTCTGAGTACAATAATGAATACTGGTGATACTTGGATGGCAGCTTCTTCGCCACCTATCTCGACTACTGGCATTTGACAGGAGACGACATTTACGCAGCTACAATTAGCAAGGCACTTCAGTTCCAAGCTGGAACTAACAGCAATTCATGCCTGATAACCGGACTGCTACCCTCAGTAATGATGACCAGTGTTTCTGAGGCACGGCGGCTCTCCTGGCTGCCGGGTATGGGTTCCCCGAGGTGGAAGGGAAACCCAAGTGGATCAGCGTTGCTGAGAATGTGTGGAGGACTCAAGTAGCACCTGGCCGCTATGATGATACATGCAACGGTGGCCTTCGCTGGAAAGTTCTTTCTTGGAATGCTGGACATGAATGGAAGAATAATGAGTAACGATATTACTGTGATAAGACTAAGTGCAGTTGAAGCTTACTTGAAGTAGCGGGCTCCAATCCTTGCTTCTTCAACCTAGGGGCCCGGCTTGCTCGGTTTACTGGGAACATGACTTACTCGGAATACCCTGATAGGAGGTGGGAATGGCGCACTGGAGTCGGTTTCGTTGACACCCGCAACTGGAAGGTGTATGACACGGGGCGCGTAGAGATCAACTCCACCAGAATAGCTAATCATCAATGGTCGTATACATCGGCCATGATGCTCATTCAAGGCGCATCATTCATGTTCAACGACATATGCCTTCCTGACGGAGGTCGAAAATCTAACAAGGATGCCAAGTCACCGATACTTGAGGCCGTTGAAAGTGGTGCAAGCTCTGGCAACTCCCCGATTGGCACGTCAAGGGTCTCGTCACCGAGTTCTACAACCTCACAGACAACTACACCAGAGTCAAGAGGTGGGCAGCTTGAGATAGATCTCAAGATGTCTTTGTTCCTTGGGTCAATCATGCTTCTAGCTCGGAGTCTCTAATTCTCGGGTGACGGATTGAGAGTATATTCGAGGCATACATATACGTCTTTAGATGAAGCACAAAGAAGCTGCAGAATGGTTCCATGGCACACGGGCAAAAGCGAAGGTCTCGAGATGAAGTTGAAGAAGAAAGATGTAGAGATTACGATAGCAAAACACCAGTTTGCCACTCATACATAGTAAAAGACGAACCCCTTTTCGCCCTTACGCCCACCCTAGTCAGTTCCGTGACATGATGCATCATTTCGTCGTAAGTGTCGTAACCAAAACCTAAGCCCGGCCTATCTATGAGACCTCCTAGCTTGACCAGCAAAGCCCAAATATTCCTGAGTATCCTGCAGTATGATGCTAGAGTCCTCTTCGTTATCCATGAGATACCTCGGCATCGTCGCCGATCCCATTCCGATCAGAGTGTTGTGTATATCCTTGGGGTTGATTGTGTCTTTTGAGTAGTGACCTTGAGTAGGGTAGTCGAAGGGGAGAACTTGGTCAGTGTCCATGGTGTAAGAGTGGTAGTCGGATGGAACAGTTGAGACGACGTCAAAGACCGGCTCAAATGCTTCAAAGCCTGCGGCGTTGAGTTCGTCAAAGTCGTCCACTGTACCAGAGTGGGAGTAAGTCTGGTAGTCTGTTGGGAGCTGCATGCCCGCGTAGTCAGCCTCGATGGGCCGACTCTTTGATCGGGTCTTTCGCGATTCGCGTGATGAGGATGTCATTCTGGAAGTTGTAACGTGTTGGGTAGAGTCTGTAGCAAGAGACATGTTGTCCATGCCCCAGCTCTGGTCTTGGTAGCCAGAGTTGTGATAAGTGTGATGCGAGCTATATCCGTTGCCGTTTCCGACGGTCCGGCTATATCCACCGGAACTCGCAGAAGGATAGGCACTTGAGGCATCGGTAGAGGATGCACTCGGGCTCGATCCGGAGAGTCTCCGGTACTCGCGGGATCTCTCCGAGTCGGCATCGCTGCCGTCAGAGTCGTAGTGTGTGGCGTACCCCCTTTCCCATCTGTCCACAGCCTTTTCCATCGCATCAAACATGAGCTGCGTAGGCAACAGACAGGGAGAATAAGCGTCGTGGTCTGTGCCGTTGAGTTAGCTTGTCATGCCCACTACTAGCAGTATGCGCGCTCGAGTTGACTTACAAATCTCCACTTTCTTCGCCCAGTCCTCCTGTCCGGGGTAGAGCTTCATCAGAAGCTTGTGGCGATACTTGTAGTCGAGCGATTGTCCACTTGCTCGCACGGAAATGCTCTCCAGAACACGTTGTTGGTCTTCCGAGAGCAATGGGGGTTCGTGAGGCGACCACACCTTGGTGCAGCTGCGCGAGTGTGATGACTTGGATTCCGCTGGCTTTGAGCCGAATCGGGCTCCACAGTGATGGCACTGCTTGTCACTTCTCAGATGAACTCGCTTGATGTGCTCGCTGGGTTGGGTAAGTCAGTACGCCATACCTGCATGACCTGGACAGGGGTCGTAAACTCACATCAATTTACCGATCCCACCCTTAATGTTTCCATCGGTGCAGGAGTTCCGGACATGAGTGAATGCTGCCGGGTTTTTGATAAAAAGGGGACAGGCCAAGTTGACGCTCTTCTCGTCGACGTTGTCCTTAGAGTGGTGGCGGTGCAGGGGAAGTCCCATCTCCCTCCTAAGCTCTGTCATGAGGAAGTCCTTCATGCTGGACCAGCCCATTGGTGACTGGGGGGTAGGTTGCTGGATGACATCGACAGGCACATTGGTGCTAAGTTTGGGACGCTTAACCTCCAAGACCTGACTAGACTTGCCGTGGGTAACAGACTCACGGCTTCGCTGCCGGACTCGCTTGCTGTTCTCGCCCATGATTGCTAGATGGCCAAAAGTGTGGTTTTCTTGGCTCCTGAAACGCTGCGAGGTTCTCTGTGACCTCTTCTCCTATCTGGTAAATGCGCTGAACACGATGTTCAGTGACCTTGGCCTCGGTTTTGAATCCTTGCTCGGAGAGCTTGATGAGGTTTGCCGGAAATGTGGCTTGCTGTTCCCGAACCCAGGCTTCTGTTAGTCTGTTGCTTGGTCCAATGTACTTCGGGTCGCCGCTGACAACCGAGCCGAGTGAAAATGAAGGCTGTTGCTGCCGTGTAAAATGACCCTGCGATCTTGTAGATCTACTCTCGACCAAATCGCGAAAGTTAGTTCAACTCTCAATGATTATAGCGTATTTCCATGGCCAAGGATATGGTCCGGCTTACACCCGATTGGGGATAACTCACCTCTTTGGCGTGTTGTTGAGCACCATTCGGTTCAAGTCAGATAGTCATGGATAGTAGCCATCAACCCGGAACTACACACAAACGCGCAAATACCGGATCCTAGATGATGGGAAAAGACAACAAAGAGTCGCGAACAACTTTAGGATACTCTGGAAAGTGAGTTCGGAATGAGAAAGAGAGAGGGAGTCGATCCATGGCTCAACGGGGCGACTTACGACTAAGAAGCAATCTTCGATCGCAATTGCGATCAGGGCATCCCGGCCCCATCCGCCACCGCCAACAAGTGCCGTTGGTCGCAATTGAGAATGTGAAAGGGGTCCAAAATAAAGCAAACATGCCTAGTGAAGCCATGGATTGATTTCCAATCGATTTGAGGCGATTTGGGTGGGTTATGGTTGTTTGACATGGCCTCACGGGTGGTCTAGGACAGGATTTCGGCATCGGATCTCACTACATGGGAAGTTGGAACCCAGCAACACTGTTCAACTCAACTTATTTCATATGCAAAGACTGTTCAACATTGTTTCTGAATAGTCTCTTTGTGATTGGTCGTGAAAGACGAGTATTGATTTGCTCTGGCAACTTGCACACTCGCTTGGCGTCAAAGGGGAGGTCTGGGAGCCAACCGCCCGCCCTCGCATCAAAGAAATCCACGACTACATGTACCCGAATAACATTGAAAAGCTTTTCGATCTTTTCTACCACGAATTTCAAAACTGAAACTAGTGCCATTACCTCAAGTCGAGCCACAATGAGCCCTAGAACATCGTCCAGGGTCGTTTAACTGGTGATCCTATGGACGTGCCCTCGGAGAATTAGCTCAATAGCGCTAGACTCATCCAGGGACCAGGAGTCTGGAATGCTTCTATTCTACTACGTGGAAGGTCCGGTGTTGCATCGGCAAGCTTCAAGAGAAGCAAGAGAAGGACGATAGACTTCTTCACCGCCTGATTTAAGGTTTTTTATGGGAGTTCTCAATGGACGAACCCTCTCTATGTGGAACAGCCGATGGATTCCTGTTCCGAGCCTACGGTCTCGTGACAAGGGGTTCATGCGGGCGATCTTGGATCAGGGTTGACGACTTGACCATCACGAAGGGGGATCGCAAAGTCATGTCGCAAAGGAGCAGTCGCAATGATTCTGGAGATGTGAGAGAGACCCCAAACCCGGGGTTTCGGCAGAGTAGCGGTCAGAAACTGTATTCCCCTGGCGGAAACGGCCGTGGGAAGGGCGCATTTGTGCAGGCCTACTACTAGTGGCCAAGCGGACTGGATCTCTCTGTTTCCGGCCGTCGCCTTTTTGCTGCTTCGGATACTTTACTTCGACGCGGGGTTGGTGTTCCCAACGAAGGAGAAAAACATCTGCCCTGCCCTCCATCTCTCTACCACACAAATTACATAAACCAACCACTCGTTTCGATTGTTTCGACATGGATGCCCAGCAGGATGATTGTCACACCCTTGCTTGGATCTGATCCACCAAAGGCCGATTTGCTCCGTGTCCCTGGATCTGTGCTCCGCTGGTCCCATAGCCATCAATTCCGAGTCGCTGGGTCGAGGTAGGACAAGACGCCTCGCCATTGGAAGAGGCGCAGCAGCCTGAGACGCTTCCCCTGATTCCGATGGGGTCTTTGAAGCGGTGTGAGCATGCTCCAAGCAGTCTACCTATGATCGCGGTACCAACAACCAGGTTTGCCAACAGCGAGATTGGCATCCTGTATCCTTCAAACCCCAGTCATCAATCGGCGGCGCAGTCTTGCTCGCAATTCGCACTGGAGTCGCTGCTCGTTAGTTACCAAGGCCTTCGCGAAACGTGACTAACTGACCTTGAGACCAGCAATTGCTGGATCGGATGCAGGCTAACGTAGGACGCGCAAGATCATGCAGGCGCGACCTCGTGAACCAACAAAGTGTGGATGATCGCATGACATCAAGACCAATCCGTGTTGTCGAAATCAGACGTCGCGGCATGAAGCAGAAGCGGCGCAGCGAATCCAGCCTCCACCTGGCCATCCACAGAAGGTCCTCAATGAACTTGTCCTGTCTCCGGGTTTTGCTTCGATGGGGTTGGCGCTGATCGTGTCTGACGCTCTCACATCCTTGGGGAGATGCCGTCGGAAGGTCGCCGAGAGACTGGTGAGGGCGCCCTGATTGTAGCTCATCGGGACACCGCCCTTGACAGCAACGGGCACCGATAGATTAAGATGTGTCTTGCGACACGTAGGGGTTGCTTCAATCGATCATCTTCTGGACTGAAAGTACACCGTGGTCGACGGACCCTGGCTTTTTGATCTGTTCGGCCGGCCATTGAAGCCATTGGGCGTATTGTGATGGTAGAGTGCTGAACAGCCCTTTCATGAGGTGCTCCGACCAGCCTTGCATGAACCAGAAATGTTCAAGGGTTTGGACCAAGACATTAAAATGCCCTAGCAATATTAGGGATAGCGCTTCCCTGTGCTGGATGCGAAGTACGAAGTCGTCGCTCATGCTATACAGCCAGCGCATAACGACCTCAAATCGGCCTTCGATGTGCGCCTCCGGCTCGGCTTGGGTGCCAAACGTTTGCTTGAAGCAGTCCTTGAGCAAGTCGAGTGAGTCCGTGTACATCTGACGTGCCGGCTCGGGCGTCGTGGCCACTAGATCGGCGAGCTCCTCAAGCCGTTGTTCCCATATGACCATCTTGTGCACGGGGTCGGGCAATGCCGGACAGTGAGTCCAGGTGTGTTCGAAAGATATGTTTCCGTCATCCCAGCCCGCCATTATGGCCTGTATGCCCATCTTTTGGACGACTATACGGACGCCTCTGAGTAGGCCCCACCAAGGGACCTCGCCGTCTTCTGCGACAACTAATAGATGCCCTGGGCTTGGCTTCCTCGCAAACGTCGATAGACAGACGAGCACGGTGGTGTGGTATAGCGCTTGACAGTTGTCTTTGTTGATATTCGGCATAAGGGTCGTGATCGCCGGCAGGGCACTTGTAGAGTGCCGCTCTGCGAGAGCATCGTAGCGAGTGGCCTCAGCCGGCCGTAGTCTGGCGAGATGCTGTGCTGATATCGCCAGAACCATGTGAAACACGTATTGGTGTTGGAAGCCTAGCCGCGGTACATGTTCTCGCCACACACGTGCTTCACCGAGGGTAATAGCTGTATGGCACATGTAGTGGTGTAGGAGTTCGAGATCGTCCCGGTTCAGCACCGCAGGAGCGAGGGAGAAGGAGGGCTCAATGGATGTAGGGGCCGGTGTGCGCGGTGTTTTGGTCGCATCGGATGATTCGGAGGCAGTCGGCGTCGGTAACTTCCGGACGGCGTCCCAGTCCTTTCGTGGGCGGCCCCGTTTTCGCGGTGCTGATGGCGGCGCCGGTGGTGACAGTTCGGTAGGAGATTGGGTGAGTAGATTCGTGGGCGGAGGAGCGAAGTCGCAGTGCATCGAGAACCTCAGACAGTTGCCGCACTCGGGCTTGGTCTCGTCGCACTGTTCAGTCCGTTACAGTCAGCCTTGGTTCGTATGGCGAGTGCAATTGCGCGTGACGCGTAGATGAACAGCGATTCAACTTCGCAAAGAGTGTAGAGACGCGCCTTGACTTTTCTCCTTTTACAGTTGTGGCATCCATTGCGAGACTTCTTGTGGGATCTTCTCTTGTTCTTGCGACACGTTCCGCAGCAGCAGCCATTGCCGCTCGTATGCTTGTCCGACGCAGTGCATACTGATGCTGTCGGGCCGGTCTCATTCTCGCCCTCATTCATTGTTCGCGATCGTGGGGCGGCGCTCGTCAAGCGTGGATTCGGTCAGGCTGGTGAGCGGCTAGGTATCGGACGGTGGGACAGCCTCGTCCATTCCTACGAGCGCATTCCGCATATGACGTCGCTTGGCATCAGTTTGGGGTAGCCGGGGGTCAGCATTGAATTAGTCGACACATAATCCAGCACCTCAAAGAGCTTGAAGAATTGTAGAACATCGATGGGACTTTCTCGAGAGCTGTTCGGCAGCCTCCCCGCACGTGGGTCCACGGTCTCGGTCTCGGTGTCTCGGATGATTTATCGTATTTGATCCGAGAATTATTCCGGGTTGATTGGCTGAGTGGCACTCACTCTATCGATGAACTCAGTCCTTGTTCTTCAGCGTCTCATCAACTGAGCGAGATTTACTGCATATTATCGCTGGGTTTTGACTTTGACAATTGGAAGTTATGATTCAGCTCATTTAACTCAAATGTTCAACAACTTCTCAACGCCAGTGTCAGCACGCTTAGCTTGCTCCACAAACTACAGACTCGAATCCCTAATTCCCTACGCAGATTAGAAAGAACTGACGGATGTTTGTAGGAAAAGAACTTCGATTCAATGTCAAGTTCATTCTATGTAGCGAAAACCGGGGTATCAACCTCTATCCTCCTGTATCAAATGGGTATCTCTAAGTCATGCTCGTCTACATCCAGCCCTTCGTATTAACCACACCTCTTAAGTCTAACTCATACTCTGCATTAGCTTCTCTGCGGATACTCCTTATGCTCATCGGGGTCATCGGAGTCCTTGGAGTCTGCAATGTGGCGCTATCTCTCCAAGGAGGCTGGTAGCTAAGCGGCTGTAATGGTGCCGGTGGCAATGGCTTCATTCTCGGATCAAGATGCTCTGCAATGTGGACCTTGATCATGAAAGAGTCCTCAGAGGGCGAAGGCTCGGGGGATGGTACTGATCGATGACGAGGGGTGATGACGGGAGCCGGACTGGCAAGGCTCTTGTCCCCGAACGAAAGCCGGCTGCTCGCCCTGTTGAAGGTTTCTTTCGCTTCAACCGTTGGCCGTGTGCCTCGTATCGTCGTGAGAAGTCCAGGAATCTTCTTGAGAAGAGGTCGTAGTGCGGGAAGACTGCCACACATTAAGGCGCACGAGATCTCAGCCATACTCCATGTCACCACATCCACGTTATCCCCTGGCTGAGTCAGCGCCCTGCTTAAAATACAGTCAAGGTAGATCCAAAACTTACATGTAGTGTCGTAAGACTCAGCAAACAACACGAGCCAGCGTAGTCGCACAATTGAAGTGATACATGCGCTGAAAGAGGGATGGGTTAGCTAATACGTGCACAGCATACAAGACAAGTGCTAAAACTCACAAAGATCCAAGGCTCAGCATGAATCCCACGGCGATCTTCTTCTTGAAACCCAATTGGAGCCTGCTCAGCTGTTGGATAGGCATAACAAAGATTACGATATCCTCAACGATGCTGAGAATCGCGCTGGCCATGGCAACGGCATTGACGTTGACGCACTTCCGCTCGAGGGTTCGGTCCCAGATTCCAGCTATGGGTGTACATTCAAACATGATGACAAAGAGAAAGACCAATCCGTGGCCAACGAGGAAAACAAACACCAATTTGTTGATGATTTGAAAGTTGCGATCGGGAAATACGCGGGCGAAAAGGGCAATGATGGACAGCTTGGCCAGAATCAAAACGACGACGTAAAGCATTTGAACGGCGTAGTAGAGCTAAGATCAATCAATCAGACAAATTGGCCATAGTAGGCGAAAGGGTCAGCCTCCATGTTGATCTTTTACTTACTTGAAGAATCTTCTGAGCATTTTCAGGGTTTACGTTCCAGTAATGAAGCCCGAAGCCGAGATCGGCAGCTTTGAAAAGTAAGTGACTTGGCTGAATGGGGAACGATGAAGACGGCGGCGGAATGGAATTACTCACTCGCAACTACGCAGCCAAGAGTGGTGGCTAGTATGGCCTGGATTATGCATTAGTTACCGAGAACTGCTAGAATACAGACCAAGGATATCAACTTACGGCAGTGACTATCGTCATCCAATCATCAAGTTCCAAACGGCTTGCAATGATCCATCTTGAGACCAACCTCAATATCACAATCGGAAAGGTAATAACAGCCAACACAGCGACAACCAACTTTATTTCGGTGTCTCGAGATGGGTGGGGGTAAGGGCGGCACAGGTCATCTGTTATGTAAGACAATGCTAAAAGATATCAGTAAACCTCAAGATAGTACGTCAGGCTCAAACTCACAAAGCTGGTCTTGCCATGTACATGATGATTGTACGCATCCTGATAGTCCATCTAAGAGAGTGACGTTGGTGCAGACACATGGGGCGATGTTGTCTAGTCCGCAGCCCGAACTGAAAAATGCAGTCGTGACACAAGAGACCTATCACAGGGTTAGATGAAGTTGACTTATGGTTGAATTTATCAAGACTTACAGCACATTGTGGGATCTGAGACATAAGCTCCAACGGAGAAGTTGCTGCATTGGTGTTGTCTTGGCCGAGGACAGTACCTGCTACCCAAGGTAGCAGCGCAAGGAACCACGGCACGTGGTTCTTCATGGTAAGGTGAAACGTGGAAGAACCAGAACACTGGGACCTATCGGGGTCTTGGTTATCTGAAAAATGTTATCCAGCCCAAATATTCGTCTCGGGAGACTCGGGGCATCGTTCCTAAATGCAACCTTTGGCTTCTGCAGGAAGCACGCTCAAGACGGAAGTTGAATCAGAGCAGAGCTTGGCCTCCAGATAAGTATGTTGAATCATCGTGCTTCGGACGGACTTGACAGCCCGCATCCAAGATTCGAATGACCTTGGATATCCGTAAACCGTTGGTCAATGTCTATTTCCGACTGGGTTATCATGTACGCGAGCCCTGCGAGTCTGTCATCTGCATCTTGGCAGAGAGCCTACAAATACTACACATGCATGCAAAGCGTCTGATATTGATTCGACCCACGGGAGTATTCTTGAGTTGGGGTTGCAATAGTCTCCGAACAAGGCAAAACGTTATGAGCCTCGCAGCTTAATTCGGCATGAGCGACCATTGTGGTGGGCGGGGTGAGTCCAAGTCTGAATCATGAACCCTGGTGTCGGCAGCGAGATCCATTGGTTCGTCCGATGTCCGCTGGGTCGGGGTTTCAAGTTGACATGCGGTCAAGTGAGCCCGTGCAACCTTTCCGGCCATCTCTCTGGGTCACTGAGAAACGGGTGGGCAGATCATATTGCTTGATCAATATAAAGAAACTCAAATATCGTGGTCGTTTTGGCAGCTTGCTGCGAGCGGCACTCTATCAACCTATCCACTCTAGCGCAAGCAGCCCTGCCTTTGCCTCATGCACCCGCACGAGTTGGCAAGCACCCCGCCCGCTATCACATTCTGGCTCCATGTGGCTAACCACGTGTAGAGCGCGTGCGATTCAAGGCCGCGCGCGCTGATGCCCTCACCTGGGGTCAGTTGTGGAGCAGTTGAGTTGAATCACGTCAAAGTCCCCACGCGATAATCGGAAACGCGGGCCCGGACTTTGAAAAGAGGCGATAAAGAATCAGGATGTTGACGCAACCCGGAGGCGGGATGATATTGATTAGAACTATCCGCAGGACCGCAGCCACACCCGGGAATGTGACAAGTCATCTTCTTACCCAAAGTTGAAGTCTCAAAGGTCATGTGCGCTGGTGCGACCTTTGCGGGACCACGAGAACGAGAAGCTCGGGTCGACGTGAAATGGTGTTAGGTACGCTAACGCCACAGCCGCGCTTCTGTAACGAGGTGTTCCCTGAGTCAAGCGCCCGCCTTGAGCCACGCCAAGTGCTGCAGATTACCTGTAGTAATCAAGGGGTTTGGAACCAAGCTTCGGCTCGACATCGTAAGGTGTGATGGAAGATACGGATACCGTTGGTCGGCCTTCCGCGTACTCCGGACTTCTTCGGCCGGGACCTCACCTTGGGATGGCCACATGCCGCACACCGGTGTGACAATGGATGCTTAGCGTGCTCCAAACCCATGGCAAAGACGTGCTGCCGCATGCCTATTTTGCATTTAGACTTTGAGGCAAGGGCCGTCCCCAGCTGTGGCCCTGTGGGAGCCGTTATCTTGCTTGGATTGAACTCCCCAATCCTTAGCAAGTTAGCACTCAGCTTGTGCCCACCTCCAAGCTTGGCTTGCCTTACATGGCGTTGCGTTCGTGAGAGTTTACTAGCTCAGGCAAGTCATTGACCTTAGCCAATCCGGGGTTGCACAACATTCGGTCCTGGGAAATGCTCGCTGTTTCTAGTAAAATGAAGCTCGCCCAGAAAGAATTATAATCAATTGTCGCGTGAAGACAGACTTCTACCGAGGTATTGGGAGTTACTCATAACAAACAAGACTCTGAACTCTCATCCAGTGCAATCAATCGATCAAATGAAAGAGACAACGTTGCATAATAGTCGGAAAAGTAGAGCCAAGCGAAACCTGTCTTGGCACTGTGCCGCCATGCCGCACCTCTCCCACGCCGATAGCGTCGCAACGATACTGAAGGCTGTAGCAAAAGAAGATTTGACACTTGCGTCACCCTATCGGTCATATCCGCAATCTGACAGATGATGCGACAAGAAGACAGAATAATATAGTTTTCACCCCCACAGTGTTTAAGTGTATGCCAATTCCGACATGACCTTGATTTGCGAAATCATCACAGCAATTGACCGGGCTCTTCCCCAGTGATGCCCTCCCGCCATGAGGAATCCACTCTATGGGCCTTTCCCGTCGACGGGAAGCATCCAGGTTCTCAGAGTCAGACCAGGCGGTGAATCGAGCGTCCTGAAGGCGGGTTCGGAGGCGGGTTTTTGAGGCGGGTTTCGAGTCATTAACCCCCGAGACTCCTCATATTCGCGCCTTTCCTGCACGTGGAACATGTTCTCATTGAGGTGATGAAGATGATTCGTGCGAGGTCAACAGTGGGACCATGATGTCGAAGGTCATGAATCAGTAGCGATTCCCCGATTGCGCCATGTGCTCATCAACCCACAGATTCCTCGCGTCAATGTCAGTTGATGTGGTCCTTATCAGTCCGAATGATGTCGACGATTGAACTCGGCAATTTCACAAACCAGGTACGAGATATTCATGGAATCACTCCAAAAGCCTTCTGTAAATGTGTGCTCGAGGGTATCACATTGGTGAATAGGGCCCAGGAGTGTGTGACGAACATGAGCGTTCAAAACAGGCAGTTGGCTAGTACATACATGTTCGAACGAATTTTGTCTGGGACGAAGGTGCCTCTCTGTTACTTATTCCTTCACCAGTACAACAACCTTTTGACTACTGAGTTTGTCTATGTCATCAGGCCCAGCTTTAATGAGCTGCCCGCGTAATGATGCCAGCTGTAGGCTTGAAGTTCAGGTACACACAGTTGCGAAGTTATTCAAAACGGATGTCTAAATTCGCACAGCTTTCACACTGGGGAGCATTGTGATTCTATTCAAGGATGAACGGTCATCGTGGTCGAGTGCATTCATGGCAGAATGTTCAGTGAGGGCAACTCAGTGGCATCAGCCTTAAGTTGGCACGACAAATCATGTGCCAGCGGCTGCATTAAAGTGATAAGCGTACGTTGTTCGGGATCGGGATCGCGAAATTCCACAATAGTTGCATCTCTCGACGTATCCACAATACTGATGAGACTTCTCTAGCTGCCAATTCTGTCAGAGGCAACACAACATCGAAGACATAAACAAGTTGGATCAAAAACTAGTCGTTACCACATGTAAATCAGAACTAGGGAGACCTCGCTACATGGATCATGCAGCGTCTCTGTGGCTAATCAAAATGAGGTTATGGCTTGGACAAGTTTGAGTATTCTGAAGACTCAATGCTATTGTCGTCTATTGTTGCTCAATCGCGCTTCAAACGCAATAACTATGCACAAAATCTGGATCCGAAGGAGTTCTCATGTGTTGATAATAGCTAGAAATATTCAAACTTTATGTTGTCAATGGTGAAAACACCCTGAAGTTGAGAAATGCTGCAACCATCGCCAGTGAAACAACATTCAATTCGAGGCATTCATTAGGCCGTTTTCTATGGATTGACTATGTTGGCATAGACTGTTCCAATTCCCGGAAGAAGACCACGACTTCACAGGACAGACTTGCACAACGTCGTCACCTTTAATGGGCCAATGTTCAAAAGCAGATGATGTAGCCAGCTTCATGGCATGAATCATTCCACTACTTGAGAACATTGGTCATGGCCGAGTCACAATTCACTGGGCCGGACACAACCAAAGAAATTATTATGCCTTCATAGATGATGTGAATTTAACGTGTTAAATATAGATGGTCTTCTTACTTAATGTTACTGATACACAAGCAGCAGCAGAGACGAAGATCTCGCTTCAACTTCAACAGCTACTTTTGAAAGTTTCAATTCTATACTATTTTCTGTATCAAGTTCATCGGCTCCTTGGCCTAATAAGAATTCCCTTGAGAAGTGTACCCTATCGACTGAGATACTGGATTCCACGAAAGACCAAGCTCAAAATTTGATTAAGTGTGAGGTAGTAGTAAGAGAAATGTTTGTATTAGTACTTCTGAGGTTGGCGACTCCACTGAGAGTAAAGAGATGCCGGCACGCGTCCTATCAGTGATGGTTCTAGTCTTTCTGAACACCTTTGACGCAAAGACGACGGCAACGAGGCTCACAGAAACGGAGGCCAGCGATCCGACTATCATTCCATAATACCCACGGATTGAGCGTTGCAGACGTGGAATAAACCATCAATACGAAGACAAGCATTTGATTTTCGGTATCATAGAAGAAGATGCATGACTGCCTAGACTATTACAGGCGGGGCGAGTTTCTGCGGTGCTGTCGTTTGGTCCTACCGTCCAAATGCGCACGTACTAGCATAGTAGAGTAAGCAGTACATGTAGTCATCAAGGCATACATGTAAACGTTAGTAAGACAGTTGAGGCCATACGCACGTAATCCACTTGTCGCAACCGCGAAGCGGTGTAGTGAGAGGTTTAGGTCTTGAGAGCTGAGCACTACGTCTGCCACAAGGTTCAATATGTTGACGTTGATGATACGGATCTTTAACATCGCACATCCATAGTCGCGTAATCAGGCAGGATAAGAGTAGAAAGTACATTCAAGAGGCGTCGACTGTCAAATTTTTTATCACACAATATTGCCATGAGGTAAAGTGCGGGCCGATGTCTAGAGTTCTTGAACACCTCATCTCACGCTTCAAGGGTGCGATTGAACAAGGCAAAGTTGAATGAGCTTGATTCTGCGAGAGCTAATATGAATCACTCTCTTTAAGGAAGATGGAATCACTGTCGTGTAACACAAGCGCCCAGGGCGAAAGATAATGGTATGGCTGACAAGGATGCATCTTCCGGATTTGTAGCCGATGAGCATCAGGGTACCCTCGGTACCTTGATATGCGCATCGAATAAAACAACTTGTTGCGGGATACGTGGTCTTACCGCTGCTTTTCCCACGTGTCCTACTAGAAGCCTAACCGGGCCCCTTGAATCTCTCCCTTCTGCGGCCAGCCGAGGCATCGAAACCCCGTCCCTCAGCCCAACACATTTCTTATTCATCACCATGCATTCCGACGTGCATCCGCCCATCAGCAATTGGCCCCTTCCACAGAGTGATGAGAACGCCTATCTTGTCTCGGCGGTAAGC